ACCATACTACTAGCGAATAAGATCACCATCGTGCGATCCTTCATCTTCAAGATTCAGTATCCTTTTTCTTGGATACATTGAAATCTCCTCCATTAGAATCTCTTTCGGGCCATTTGAAATCATGTGTGATGCTTCTGATTATGCCCACGAAAATTATGCTGAACATCAACAACTAGAAAAAAAAATCCGAATCTAAATCATGGAATGAAATCTTACGTCGTCGGTAGAGTGAATGACCGTCTCTGCTCAGCCCGAACAAGCCCTAAGACTGGAACCGTCCGATACCTGAAAAATATAAGAGTGGGTCAGGCCCACGAACAAGTTCTATGTAATCAATTTCGGATTAGAATTCCCAACACAAATATGTTACTATGAAATGCTACAACACAAAATTGCTACATTCCTTCAAGAAATTCATGAAATTAATGGCAAGAATAACCTATCAAAGTAGTTTTCACCTTTTGGAGGGGCCATTGTGCAATTAATGAAAGTTATTGCAACTTTTGAACTATTTTTGGAGGATTTATGAAAATTTAAGCAAAAACCATGCATGGAGATATGATTCAAAGCTTCATTTTGATTTAGCATGTTTTGAGCCTAAGATGCTAAGGTTAACCTCTACTTTGAATCCCATGATGATTTGATTCAAAATGAATGTACAAAATTGATTTTTTTTATGAGTTTTGAGAATAATAACATGTCAACAACTTTGATATGAGTTAAAATTGGTTCTTAAAATTAGAATATGAGATTTACCGCCAATATCTTATTATGAATAATTCCAATTGAGAACAGCACCGGAGTCAATAAAGGCTACCATATGAATGGTAAAAGTCTTTGTTAATGACAATTTTCAGGATCCAATATAATTTTTCCTTATGGGTAGAGAGCAAACCTTGATTAGAAGTAACTTCTTGCTAAGAGAAAACCTCTCTTAATCTTCCCTTGGGTACACATTACATACATGGAATCAAATATACATATTTTGACATATAAGTCTACAAAATGACATTTCATGCTAACATTTGCATGAAATGGAAACAACTAAGTATGATCAAACAGCACTTGAATCCAAGATTAATTCAGAAAAACAAGCTTAACTAGTGACCACACTGTCCAAATTCATTTTCAGCATATTCTCAACACAAACACAGTTTGAGAAAGTGTAAAAAGATGGATACCCCCTAATTTCGGAACACGGGTTGATCAAATCCGCGTACAAAATCAAGGGATATCAAAACAATTAAAATATTTAAACAAGAATGGGGAGAACATCGTTCCTTTTCTGTAGTAATGTCTAAAATGAGTTATATGCAAGCTAAGATATATCATTAATTTCTCAAATTAATAAAAGATAATAAACAATTAATTATTCTATGCATTAGATAAATAAATAAATAACAGACAGAAGCAATTTAAATGGCCAATGGAAACAACTTTTAACATTTAATTGCTCTAATAACATCTTAATGGGCATTTTCGGAAGATTAAAAGGGCAAAATGGGTATTATAGCAATAATTTATATCAGATTTCTGACAAAGGGGTAATTTTGCACAATTTCAAAATATTATGAAGTATTGAGCTCATAAACTTCATAAGCTCAAGACATCGGACGAATTCGCATATTAATGATGTATTTTAGCACAAAGGCCCCCTACTGTACCATTTGGCTTCAATTCACTCCACCTAAATTGTCCGAAACCAACACCAGTTCCCTCAAATCCACAATTGGCTTCAATTCATTATTCATCTTGTCGTTCCAATACTGAGACAAATTTTCGGGAAAAAATAGTTTTCACACTGCATTCACAATGAAAAAAATAATCAACCTTGAAGCATTATTGCCTTCTATCTAAAATATCATTAAAGAAATTAACAAAAAAAAAATGAAATGAAGAAAAATCAAGTTAATATATTTTCAAATAATATAAAGCTCAAATTAAATATTTCAAAAGAGACTAAGAAGACATAAAACTCAAATTAAATATTTCAAATAAAATACCATGCTCTTTTAAAACATTAATGTATAAGGTGAAGCAGGTATTGAACTCTTTTCAAATAAAAATCATACCTGGTGGTGGAACTGGCTTTCCATCTGCAAAGAATGTACAGATGAGTAAGAGAGCATCTCAAAAACAAAGCTTATGAAAGTTCAACAAGAAAAGAAAACGATAGATAACACTTTCATATATAATTCATTTTTGGTGGATTATTTTTTCTAAGATTTGTTATAATTGCAATGAGTATATAACTTATCTAGTTTGGGCCAACCAACTAAGCGTTTCGTGCCATTTTTCTAAAATAGGAATTCTTGAATTTTTTTTTTTTTTCTTTCCGGAAAATAAAGCAACTGATATATATATATATAAACTGTAATTACATATAACAGGCCTTCGGCCTAGACAGTCCAAAAACTTGGAAAAGACAAGCCCAAACCTGGGCAATCAATGGTGCAGCCCAGCCCAATTCTTGAAAGTTACTACTTTGCAAGTATTTGTGGCTTTGTGCCATTGATTTCCTAAATGAAGTACCAAAACAATAAATTGATTCTAAAAGATTAGAAAATTGGTTTGAACAAGGAAAAGGACCATAAAGTGTAACAATACGAGACAACAATAATGTTGATGCTAAGATACAATGATGTTTGGTATGCTTTTGTTTTGTTTTTATTTTTGGGTTTTTATCTACAGTGCTAAAACATTTTTTGAACAAGGGCTTGAACTTAAAACATCAAAAAGTTATTTTTTCTTGCTTTGACAATTATTTATAGCCCAAAATTATATTTTGCATATTTCTGTTTCCGACATTTTCACAGCAAAACATTGTTCCCAAAACGTGCTTCCAATATTGTTCCCAAAACGTGCTTCCAATTTCTTCCAAAACACTCCTACAACAAAAATACTGTTTCTGTTTTAGCAAAAAACAGAACTCCTAAAACAAAGCTCATGCCAAACGGACCCTAGAGATCTACAAACAAACAATTACTAAAATTAAAATATTGGAGACATTGAATTAACAATGTTTTTTGTTCCCAACTCGGGTCTTCTTAGAAAAAAAATTAAGATGAAAATTCTGGACCTAGGAAAAAAGGTATGAGGAAAAAAAATGAAAAAAAAAAAAAAAAAAAATCAATTAGAAGCAAGCATAGCATGTCACAATGAAAACAAATTAACCAAAAATTACTCACAACTGAAATCAGAGCCATACCTTGACAATATCGAACCAAATCTTTGTTACAGTACTTACAAGCAACAGATCCTTTCAAAGCTTGGTTGTGCACTGCTTTCAAACCAAATAGCACAAATGTATCCATAATTCAGTTTTATGTTAAAGGAACGTATATATAAAATAATAAAAATAAAAATCTATTTCAATATTATGAATGTTTAAGGAAAACCAAGAAAATCAAACTAAATAAATAAATAATCGATTTATTTTTTTTTCCCTCAACTTTCCATACAATACCAGAAATTAAACTATGTCCATAAAATTTTGGCAGATTCATTCACGTACTCATGTCCATAAAATTAGAAAAAGAATAACACACATTTACCTTTCAATCATAAAAATTATTGAGGTACATTTTAGTAAATGTAATATATATTTTGTTAAGTGTTTGATTCACCTACACATTAGGATGCATAAATACATATGCATACAATATAAAGACTTTTGGGGAATGCTGGAATGGGCTACAGTTATCATTCCACCTTTGTCATGATACTTAAGAAGAAAAGGGTATCAAGGAAACTGTCAGAATAAAATTTTATAGTCATGTAGACTCATAACTATGATTTCCATTTCAACACCAAATTGAGTTATGATTGATAATTTAAGGCTTGAAAATGAAATAAATAACGAATCTTAGTTTGTTTTCGAATAAAGATTAAATATATCTCTTCGTAAAGTTTTGTAAGAGTCTGACATGGTAGTTTGTAATTATTTAAATGCTCTCCCGTTCCTTCTCACCAATATCGGCATTTCGAATCTGATTATTAACATCTGAAAATAAGATTATCAGAAAGATTTGTATATTTGCCCACATGCCAATGAGAAGCATTTTGCAAAGAAAATCATGCAAATATACCATCGAAAAATTTATGAAAAAAATTATATATAGACCACAGAAAAAGTCATAATGTAACAGTTTCTCTCTTTTTTTAATTGCTTAATTAAGTACTTCTGCTCCTTAATTTACCTGAACATTGAAGAAATCATATTCTATATTTTTGCTCAAATCCCTACTAAATCACATATGAATTCGTGCGCACATCAGCAATTACATTTTTTTTATTTATTTATCAAAATTAGAAAATGGCACCACAACATTAGTATTCAACTTACATTCTCAGTCACTGCGAGTTCGAGGTTCATAATGCCCATCGAAGGAACATCCTTAATTTCTTTATCTCTCTCTCCATACATACATACATATATATATATATATATATATATAACTAGAAAACTTCACATTATACTAGCAATTTTCTGAAGCATATCATCACGTGTTGGAAGACAAATTTTTACTTAGAATCTAAGACCGAATTTAAAAGTAGAAGGATGGGTTGAATTTGGGTTGAACAGTTAAAGTTGTGAATAGAGTTAGGATTAGACTTGAGTTTAACATTTTATATGGTTTGTTGAGCTTGAATTATACTTCAAATCCGTCCAATTTATCGGGATTGTAGCCCTAATTTGGAAGAAATGAAAAAGAAAAAGAAGGATTTGAGTAAAAATGAAAACACTTCTTTTCACTGTAACAAAGGAAAGTCAACATATTTTTATCTTATAAAGTAACCGAGCTGAGTTTTTTTTTTTTTTTTTTTTTCACCATTATATATGATTATTACAAGAAGGAGAATATCTACGACACATCCAGGCTCATCACTAGATCTACTCAAATGAAATCTGAACCGTTAAATAGATTTGACTAGGTCCCACATCCAAAAAGTCAACAAAAACGCAAAGCAAGTTATCATACACCACCTGTACCCAAACCTTCTTTTTTTTCTTTTAAACAGCGCTCTCTAGATCCAATACAATTCAAAATTATTTTGTTGTTGTTTTTTCGACTTCATGTGAAAATTATGACGTTTTCATAACCCAATTCAAATTCAGCACAACGGCTCTCTCTCCCTCTTCTCTCTCTCACACACCACTCTCTCCCTTCTGTATCGAGATCTTGTCTGATTAAACCCTAGTGTTTGCTCTATCTTCGTCTTACGCACTTTCTGGACTTTCTCTCTCTAGATTGCTGCAAACAATGAAGCACTTTATGCAACCAAAAAATGCAATATTGAGAGAGAACAATCCATCTCTGGAGAGCCCATCGTCTTCAAACCCTAGTTCGCTGAAAAGGAAATCAACTCGTAAACAGAAGTCGTCGACGAAAGAGAATGCTCCGCCCCCAGATCTGTATGCGTTGCCGGATTCGTCACCTTCGCCGTCCTTTTCCGGGAAACCCTCGCCGGCGGCGGCCGGAAAGATGAGGAGTCCTCTTCCGCCGAGACCTCCGCCCTCCAACCCTCTGAAGCGGAAGCTCAATATGGAGACCGTCCCTGAGAATGGGCTTCCTGGTTTCTCTGATTCTGGAGTCAATGTATTCTCTATAAACCCTAATTTGAATTTCTTGACTTCTTATACTCTGCTTGTTGCTGATAAAGTGTGCGAAATTGAAAGACTTTAATTTTTATTTTATTTTGAATTCTTGCTGAAAACCCTAATTCTTGTTTTTCCCAAATTTCCTTTTATGTTGTCTGGTTACCTAGAAAATGTTGGGAAAAAAAATTGGAATAATTTTTTGATATGTCTTTGTTTTGCTTCTCATTTCATGTTTCTATAATTCTACTGAACTAAAGTAGGTGATTATTATTGATTTAGCTGAGTGGAAATTTTTAATTTTGTGAGGTGCCAGATAACGGATATGTTCAGATTATTTTAGTTTCTTTTTCTTTCCTGCATCTTCTTTGAAATCATGCATAGAAGCATTGGACTTTTGTTGAATCTTGCAATTTTGTTTCACAAACTAGGTTGTAGTGCGAATGCGGCCACTGAATAAGGATGAGGAAGAAGGAGAGATGATAGTTCAGAAAAATTCTAGTGATTCTTTGACGATCCTTGGACAAACATTTACATTTGACTCTGTTGCGGACACTGAGTCAACACAGGTAAGACCTAACTTGCTGTTCTTCTGTGGGCTGTTGAATACATGTTCAAAAATATTATAAATGGCTTAAAGTTTCTTTTTCTTTATGTCAGCTGGATATATTCCAGCTTGTGGGAGCTCCTCTTGTTGAAAATTGTCTTGCTGGCCTTAATAGTTCTGTATTCGCATATGGGCAGGTATTTATCTGTTTCATTTCTCTTTCTTTATATGGAAAATTTGTATATACATATTCACACAACTATGCAACTATAGGTGTAAATTGTATATTGTATCTGTTAACAATTTTGCTATCATATGAATTGTGTATTTTAAATTTTTTTGTTTAGACTGGGAGTGGAAAGACTTATACAATGTGGGGACCGGCCAACGCCTTGTTGGAAGAAAACCTATCTAGTGATCAGCAAGGCTTAACGCCCCGTATTTTTGAGAGACTTTTTGCTCGCATAAATGAGGTGTGATTTTATTCTCTTCAAGATAATACTTGCTGACGGACACTTAGCAACCAAAGTAAAAAATAAAAAATATCATAATTTGTTTGCTTTCACTTTTTCATTATAGGAGCAAATTAAGCATGCTGACAAACTCATGTATCAGTGCCGCTGTTCTTTTCTTGAGGTTAAGCAATCAGATCTAGTCCTTTGTATTAAACAGTCATACTTAAGTTACTACTTCACTTAACGTTAAAAGCTGTCATTACAGATTTACAATGAACAAATCACTGATTTGTTGGATCCCAGTCAAAAAAACCTTCAGGTAAGAGTGATACTAAATTTATTTTGCTTTAAGTTTTTATACTATGACTGACATGTTTTTTTTTTTTTATGTTCTTGTTGGTGTTTGACCGACATGGTTTTCTTATGTTTTTGTTGGTGTTCTTCCAGATAAGAGAGGACGTCAAAACTGGTGTCTATGTTGAAAATTTGACAGAGGAGTGTGTATGTACAACAAAGGATGTGACACAGCTTTTAATAAAGGTTTGCTTGGGTTTTCTGCTTGTGGAATGTAAATGCACTTCATAGTCTGAGTTTTCTTGACTACTTACTTAAGACAGCCTATGTAGAGAAATATCTGATCAATAGGCTTCTTGACTCTACTTATGTTGCATAGGAAACTCTATTTATATGTATGTTTTGCCAAACACTGAATTTTATTTATTTTTTAATATTTATGGTGTTGCATGACATCAATTCCCATTTATATATTGCCTATACTAGTGTCATGATCTCATTTAAAGGGCAACAAGGTCTATGAGATTTAATGACTATTTAAGACAAGCTGGTCCTGGCTATGGGTTGTGACTAGTTGCATTTGTATTTGAAATATTGGTTTATATTTTTTATGTATATCACAAATTATTTTTAAATTTTTTTTGTTTAAGTTCAGTTTCCTTTTATAAATTGAGCAGCGGTTTTCAGTCTTTACTGGAGATGTACTTTTGTGAATGAAATAGAAAATGGGTCAAGGGGAGAGCAAGTGTTTGGCTAGTCGGATGGAATTAAGAGGAAGCATGTGTATCCAATGCAAATGTACTTTGCTCAGACTATCAAAACTGATGCATAAAGGGGGTATTGAAATTCAGAATGGCAACCTTAAAATGAATTGCCTGCTAAGCAGCAGTGCTTAAAATAGTGTCTAGAGCCCACATGATTTAGTCCTGGTTATGCAATAATATGCTAAAATATTATTTTTTTTGCACAAAAACTATCCACTTTTGTTGTGTAGATGTTTTATTTACCTGAATTGTTCATTTGAAATAATTTGTTTCCGATATGTATGTGGACATTATCTGAATTGCAGCACTATCTTGATCTATCTGAAAAACAAATGCAGCATTATCGTGCGACATGATTTTATTGAGCTAAATAACAAAGAATCAAAATTTAGGCCGGACCATGCAAGAGTTTTAGTGCCAAACTGCCAATGCTTTCACTCTTGCTTTCTACTCGCCTTCTACAAATTTTGCTAGAATCTTTTATATTTATGGGTGTTGATTAAAAAAATAAAAGATTGAAGAGAGAAATTAAGAATGAAATAACACAAGGATATGCGTGGTTCGGCAACTACGGCCTACATCCACCGCCTACAAAGACCAAAGGGCTACATCACTTTTATCATATTCTCCCTTAGTTTTGTTTACAATGACCACCTCTATTTATAGGTGAAAGAATACAGGTGATAAATATGGAAAATACACTGATGGAGGATTCCTAAAATCAATCCCATAAATCACTCCTATCAATAGAATGACGCTTAAATCTCTTGTCATGATAATCTCCCAACAATGGGCAACACAAAAGTTTTGTTTTTCCTTATAATGATTAAACTAATCAAATAAAGCTTCAGCTTTATACAAAATATTAGGGCAGAAGGCCTGAATTTCAGCCTTGAGGCTAATGTCTAACTTATTTAGAAGTCCTCATACCTCAGCTCACATCCAATTTATGATTTATTGGTTTCTAATCACAAGTATCATCATGGGTTGTTTTCTCCCACATTTCAACTCATAGTTGGTGAGTACAAGTAAATTATATATACAAGTGAAACTAATACATACGATGCAAGTGCAAAGAGAGGAAGTTTAAAAGATGCAATAATTATAGGTGACCCAGGAAGATTCTTCATTTTGATTAACTTTAAGTATTTAAACATTATGTACACATGGAGTGGAATACCTAGTAAAGTGGAACATTCAAGGTACTCTAAATTCTTTGGCTAATGTTTGTAAAGTTGTTGGATTGATACGGGTAACATTGAGTTAGATTCAGATATGCGATATCCTTAAACCTTTTGCCATAATTTTTTCTTTAATATTTTTATTCAGTTTTGAAGTGGATAGTTTTTCACACACACACACACACAAACAGTTATATATTTATAATTACTGGATTAATGATGCAGGGATTATCAAACAGGAGGACTGGTGCAACAAGTATAAATGCTGAGAGTTCCCGTTCACACAGTGTGTTTACTTGTGTTGTTGAATCACGATGCAAGGTAATAAGATCTCAATTGAGGATTAGCTGTTGATTTACTTACTGCTATTTGTTAAACACTTGGGACATTTTTTTCTTTTTTTTCTTTTTCTCTTCTCCATGAAAGGTATTGTTTATGGTTTGTAATTTTCTTGGAGTGTATGTCTTTGTGATACCACGTAGATTTTTTCAACCAAGCCAGCTGGCACTTTTGTGGTTCTTCAACACCCCCTCCTCCTTGCTATTCCTTGCTGATGAAATTCCCTTTTGGTTGTATTTCACACACACACATAGCTACTCTAAACTTAATTTTCATTTTCTAGAGTATGGCAGACGGTTTGAGCTCCTTCAAAACAAGTAGAATAAATCTTGTTGACCTTGCTGGGTCAGAAAGACAGAAACTAACTGGTGCAGCTGGAGAACGCTTGAAGGAAGCAGGGAATATCAATCGGTCACTTTCACAGCTAGGGTATGGTTTAGCATTTCGTTGTAAAAATATTTATTACAGTTAATGTTAAATTGTTAGCTTTGCTTCACATAATTTTCTGGTTAGAATATCGCTAGCTATGTGCTAAATATTGTTGCTCATAATGATTGTTCAGTATGATGTTTAGAGAGCTTTATGCTCCAAGAGATGCCATCAGTGTCTGGGAAAAATAGAAATTAGAAAGTTCATAAAAAATACGTGAATCTTTCTGAAGCATCTGGTATATGAGTGTGGAGAAAGGAAAAATTATAAAGAAAGGATGAGAAATATAGAAGTTTATTTTGGAACACATAACTTTGGTTCTAACTTTGGTATTTAGTTCGAGATCTTCTATTGGTGAATTAGTAGAGGGGATTACTCTTTAATTAAGATATGTTTAGCTTTGTGTCTAAATTAATTGGTGAGGAACTAAGGTACTTGGACATGGTATATGGATGGTCAAGTTACTCATTTATCAAGAAGTGGTTAATTGATGTTTGTATGTGTAGGATAGAGCGTAGGGAATATAATAGCTGTATTCCTCAAATCACCTGAAATGTGCTGCAAGTGATAGAAAAGAGAAAAGAGGAAAATTAAGATAGTGTTTGGTTTGCCACTCTGGTGTACTTCGTCTTCTGTTGGGTGCAAAAAATAAAGATATTTTCCGTTCATAGGCAAGAGAAATACTTGCCAATTATTCATAGCTGAAAAACAGTAAGATGTTTCTGTGACAGCTTAAGAAAAACGATATCATTTCTAACAGGACAAGATTTTCCTTTACAGAAGACCTCCTGAGCAAATCTGTATGGCTGTTATTTTTGTTTTTGTTATTACTCCCTCTGTCTCAAATTAAATTTCTACATTTTCATTTTTGGCTGTCTCAAAATAAATGTCCCATTTGAAAAGTCAAAGTACTATTTTTTGTAACATTACCAATTTAACCTTCTTACATTGAACTTAAAAAGTAAACCATCACATTCCGTGGACCCACTATGGACATATTTGGTAATTCATTCACTACCAATACAATAAAAAAATATTAAAACCCATCCTCTTAAAAAGTTAAATTCCCAAAAAGGGACATTTAATTTGAGACGGAGGGAGTATATGATTACTTCTTGTTAATGCCACGAACAAGAAGAAATTGCTGCGTAAAAGTTAGTACATAAAAGTTCTTATATGACCTTGTGTCAAGATACAATATTTGTGTGGTGCTGATTGCCTTTATTTATGAGATATGCAGGAACTTGATAAACATACTTGCTGAAGTTTCCCAAACAGGAAAGCAAAGGCACATCCCCTACAGAGATTCCAGGTTGACTTTTTTACTGCAGGAATCTCTTGGTGGAAATGCAAAACTAGCAATGGTCTGTGCTATTTCTCCATCACAAAGGTGATATTGCAGAGCCCTGCTTTCTTGCTATTTGTTTTGGTGTTTCTTTTTCAATTTCTTTGTGTTTTGTTTCTTCTTGCTCAATCTTGCTTTCTCACCATGTGTTTTGGTGTTTCATTTTTTGTTTCTTTCTATATTTCTTCTTTTCTCTAACATATTAGTTAATCTGCAGCTGTAAGAGTGAGACTTTCAGCACACTACGATTTGCTCAGCGTGCAAAGGCTATTAAGAACAAGGCAGTTGTTAATGAAGTAATGCAAGATGATGTGAATTTCTTACGTGAAGTGATACGGCAGCTAAAGGTATATTCTTGTTTCCTTCTTTATTTATTTCTAATCTATAATGATAAATCACATATGTTTTTAGCTACACCATTAAGCATGTGAACAATTTACACTAACTGGATACTTTCAACAGGATGAACTACTTCGAATGAAGGCAAATGGCAACGAAACTGATCCAAATGGAGGTTATTCAACAGGATGGAATGCCCGTAGAAGCTTGAATCTATTGAAATTCAGCCTAAATCGTCCAATGACATTACCTCGCATAGATGATGACAGTGATGAAGAAATGGAAATCGTTGAGGAAGCTGATCAAGTTAGTCTCCAGTCAGCTGGCAGTGAGGAAAATAACACCATGGATGTGAGCAAAGTAGCATCTAAAGAAGGAACTGATGGGGAGCCTCAGCCAAACATATCAGGAAGTGCATGTGTTGAGGAACAAGTTTCAGAGGATACAGATGTTAATATGGAAGAAGAAATATCTGAAAAAGTTGACAAGCATGAAATCATTAGTGTTGATTTTGAAGAACCTGTTACAAATACAGCAGATTGTTCAATGGCCAATGTGCTGAACCATCATGATTCCATTGAGGGAAATGATGGGGATAATTCGATTCATTCATTGGTTAATACTCGTGAGAAAAATTATTCTGGTCAGTGCCCTGAAGAGTGTCTTACACCCTCTATCAATACCTTGTTGAATGATGAATCTTTGAGCATGCCAGTGGTGGATGGTCATGTTTCCCCAAGTTTGCAATCAGCTAGTCAAGTTTCTGCAGACATTGTGCCAGAAGATACACCTAGTAAGACTCAAATTAGCTTGGGAGATGGTATGGATCCTTCTAACCTCAGCATAGTTCCATGTGACGTATCCCCAGTTCTTAAGTCACCAACTCCAAGTGTTTCACCAAGAGTTAATGACAGCAGGAAAAGTTTAAGGACTTCATCAGTGCTGACTGCTTCCCAGAGGGATTTTGGAGATGTTAATAAGCCAAGCTCAGAAGCTGTTTCCTTATCTTTTGCAAAGCCCTCAAAAAGCAGCTATTCGAATGCTTTGTCTACTCAAACAAGTAAAAATTATTTCAAACCAACTGAACATTTGGCTGCCAGTCTCCATCGTGGTCTTGAGATCATTGACGGTCATCGCCAGAGTTCTGTTTTGAGGCGGTCATCATTCAGATTTTCTTGCAAACCTTCAGATATTAAGCCGATTTTGCCTGTTGACAAAGTTGATGTGGGTCTTCAAACTTCTTTTGAAGAGAATGAGTTACTGGAAGAGGATTTAATGATACGCTTATGTAGTAAATGCAAGGGTAGAAATTCCCAGCACGAGCTCAAAGATGGTAATGACCGTGCGGATCTGCAGTTAGTACCTGTTGATGTGTCACAGTGTGCTGAAAAACCCAAGAAGCAAGTTCCCAAAGTATGTCTGAAGGCATCAGTAACCGTTTTTGGTCTTTAAGAGATCATATGTACTTTTATTTGACACTTTTCAATTACTATGCAGGCAGTAGAAAAGGTGTTGGCCGGAGCAATTAGAAGGGAGATGGCATTAGAAGAAGTTTGTAACAAGCAGGCCTCTGAAGTTGTGCAACTTAATCGTTTGGTACGTTCCTGTCAACTTAGTTAAGCGGCCGACAATATGTGAAACCTCCTCTCAATTTAAACTTTTTTGGCCATTAATTGCAGGTCCAACAGTACAAACACGAGAGGGAATGCAACGCCATAATTGGACAGACACGAGAAGATAAAATTGTTCGCCTTGAGAGCTTGATGGATGGCATTTTACCTACTGAGGAGTTCATGGAGGATGAATTAGTATCGCTTACAAATGAGCATAAGGTATGCATTCAATTTTTCTGTTTGACTAGAATTATATTGCTGTTTTCAAAATTTTCCTTTTCATATTATCATCTTATATTTTGCATGTTCCACCTGGTATTAACAGCTTCTGAAGGAAAAATATGAAAACCATCCGGAAGTTTTGAGGACAAAAATTGAGTTGAAAAGAGTTGAAGATGAGCTAGAACGTTATAGGAACTTCTTTGATATGGGTGAGAGGGATGTTTTGTTGGAAGAGATTCATGATTTAAGAAGCCAGCTGCAGTATTATATAGACTCTTCACCTGCAGACAGAAGACGAGGTCCTCTGCTGCAGTTAACTTATTCATGTGAGCGAAGTGTGGCTTCACCTTTGTGCACAATTCTGGAGTCGGCTGAGGGGAGTGCTGAGCAGAAACTTGAACAGGAGAGAATTAGATGGACTGAAGCAGAGAGTAAATGGATTTCTCTTGCAGAAGAACTGAGAGCTGAACTTGAAGCTAGCCGGTCTGTAGCAGAAAAGCGGAAGCAGGAATTGGATTTGGAGAAGAAATGTTCAGAAGAGTTAAAGGAAGCAATGCAGATGGCAATGGAGGGCCATGCACGCATGCTTGAACAGTATGCTGATCTTGAGGAGAAACACATTCATTTGCTTATGAGACATAGGAAGATTCAAGATGGGATAGATGATGTGAAGAAAGCAGCTGCCAGGGCAGGAGTTAGAGGTGCTGAATCTAAGTTCATAAATGCCCTTGCTGCAGAAATTTCAGCTCTAAAAGTAGAAAGGGAAAAAGAGAGGCGGTATCTTAGGGATGAGAATAAAGGTCTTCAGGCCCAACTGAGGGATACTGCTGAAGCTGTCCAGGCTGCTGGCGAATTACTTGTGAGGCTCAAAGAAGCAGAAGAAACTATTGCTGCTGCCCAGGTGAGTTTATGATTGGTTGTTTTAGAGTGTTGCTCCTGTGTTCCATTGATGTTCATTATTTCATGATATTCTTAATTAAAGGTTTTGCTTTAATTATCTTTTTATTCTTGTCCATGCATTTCTTTGATTGTGCATATGCTCATGCATTCTTGTGCTTCTATGTGCATTCTCGAAAATTAAAAGAAGAAACTTTTTTTGAAATTCATTGCATGTAATGATGGCAGGCAATATTTGGAGTACACTTAGTTGCACATGCACTGGAAAAAAATTATTACTTTTTATGTCATTACCGGTGGTTCATATACTTTAATGTTATGTTTGGTTGGAGGGAAGGAAGAAAGTAGGGATGGAGCAAGCTTCCATTGTTTGGTAGAGGGGAGAGGAATAGAGGAAGGATGGGAGGAGGGATGAAGCATCTTTCTGGCCCACCATTTTCCTTCCATCAAAAAAGGGGAGGAAGAGGAGAGAGAAAAATAAATATTTGCTAGATAAAATAAAAAGGTATAATGGTAATACAATAATATCACCTCTTCCTTTCCTTCCATCCCTTCTCTATGGATGCCTCTTCCATCCTTCCTCTTATCCCTTCCTTTTATTTGTCAATCCCTCTTGCCAAATGAAGCATAAGTAAACTGTTAAAATCTCTATTTAAGGAGGAAAACTGTTGAAGATAAGTCATGGGAAGAAATGGCAATGGGATGGGTTCTTCGGGCAACTCCGACTTGGCCCACCCCTAATGGGACGGATTTGGGAACGGTAGGGAAAACCAACGCGAAATCAGGGCAGAATTGGTGGGTTAAAGTGGTAATAGTCTTATCCCACCCCACCTTGATTTTTCTTTGGGGTTTTGATTGCTACGTGAGGTTCTCCGTTTTCACAATTTAAAAGTTGGGGTGGGTTTTACTAGTAAATCGATATTCATTATCATTCCATGTCAATAGGATTTCTCCATTTCCCGTACATTGTCTCTTGAACTCTCCAGTCCTTCCTTCCCATTCTCGTATAATACAGACTCAGATAAGAGTCTAGTAAGTTACTAGACAACAAGTCAACTGGAGGTGAGGAATGATGTTGAAAAATCAATAATGTTGATCCGGACTGGTTGGTTTTAACTCTTGAATGTTGACAGTCTCTCGAGTAGCATATGGATGTTTGGTTTACGTAGATGGTGCTTGTGTGAGTAAATCTGTTGCTGGTTCGTGACGGTGGCCAATTTTGTGGTGGAATGGTGGCAGCAGTGGAGTTGATGAGCAACAATGGCTTATCAAGCTATGGTCAATCTCTCTAGAAAAGTGCGAACAATCATTGGAGATCCCATGATCAGCTATTCTTTGTTTTCCTAAAAAACCCAATTTCAAAAGTGAACTTAAAGGCTAAGGTTTAGAAAATTTTGAATTTTTGTGTTGTTTTGTTTTCTTGCTGTGATTTTACTAGTTTAAGTGTTTCTTTTAGACTAGAACTGGATCTCTTCACTAACATTCGAGTCTGGGGTCAACATATACATGGCCATATATAATAAGTTTACAAGTACATTGCCATATATAAGTATAATGTATATTTTATGTGTTTGATTTTATCAGGCTATGGTCAAACTCTTTAATCTCTCTAGAAAAGTGCGGACAATCATTGGAGACCCCATCATCAGCTATTCTTTGTTTCCCAAATAAACCCAATTTCAAAAGTGAACTTAAAGGCTAAGGTTTAGAAAATTTTGAATTTTTGCATTGTTTTGTTTTCTTGCTGTGATTTTACTAGTTTAACTGTTTCTTTTAGACTACAACATGGATCTCTTCACTAACATTCGAGTCTGGGGGCAAGATGTACACAGCCATATATAAGTATCTAAGTACATAACCATATATTAGTATTAACCATTGAATCTAAAGATGATGCAATGAAAAGTACTTGAAAATCCTCCTACAGGCTTTTAGCAATTCACATCCCATGTGTTTTTGAATTTACATGTGAATGCTTTGTCATAGTATTCAGTCAACATTTTTAAAGATGTTGTTTAATGAGATAACACTGTTTTGTTTTTGGTGCCCACACCACCGCCTTGAATATGTGCCTGCTTGCTGATACACATAGATAATACACACAAATATATATATATGCTCAGTTTTGATATGTGAACAAGAATGCTCATGCATATAGGTAAGTTTAAAAATATTTGAAAACATAAGGTAACAAAGATTGTGTTCGGTTTTTGGTGCCCACACCATCGCCTTGAATATGTGCTTGCTTACTGATACATACATACATAAATATGCGAACCAGAATGCTCCTTCAGATTTAAAGTTTGTAGATATTGTCTCTTCATGATTGAGTAATGATTACAAGCTCAGTAATGGATAGTTAAAAAAAATTGAATATGATTTTGAATTCTTGTATCACAATGTGTAGGAAAAAAATCATTTAATACTATGAACAATGTAATTGAAATGTTGACCATTTTCGATATTCCTGTGTCCCATCTTTTCTTTACATCCTATCATTAGCCATTATCATTCAGACAACCTCTTATCTCATCCTAAATTTTTTCTGATGTCCTCCTGAATCTCCTGATACTGTTTTTGTTTTCCTCAGCCCTTCACACTAGCAGTCACTCCTAAGTCCCATCCATCACATTCTAATGAATTCTCTCGGTTATGCAAGGTCATTTCTCCTAATGTCCTAAATTGGTGCTACTGTCTCTTCTAACAATTTTCTGAAGTTCTGTTGGAAGTTTTTTAGCTCGTCCCAATGTTTTTAAGTGCTCACTGTACCTATTGAAATTCCCATATTTGGAAGGTTAAACCCTTGGTATTGGTAGATCCACATAAAATAGCAGCAGTGTATACTTTTCACTTGATATTGCTGAGGTTTGGTGGCACTTGGCAATTGCATTTTATGCGAAGTTGTTATAATTTATATAAATTGACGCTGCTGTAGAATTAATGCACTGGTAAGTTTGCTTTGAATATCATCATATTATCACACTTCTGTTGATTGAGAGTTCTAATTTTGCAATATTTATCCAAGGGGGGAAACTATTTGTATCATCCGGTCCTGTTGATGATTTCTAAACACGTGGACTGTTTGTATCATTTGCCTAAAGATTGATTTCCTACACTTACTGAATTATATACTATAGTTCTTACCAATTCTGTAATTATTGCAGAAGCAAGCTATGGATGCTGAACAAGAAACTGAGAAGGCTTACAAACAGATTGATAAGTTGAAGAAAAAACATGAGAAGGAGTTAAGTACTTTGAATCAGTTACTTGAGGAGTCTCGTTTGCCAAAAGAAGCATTTAGACCACCTCCTTATGATAACTCGGACATGACTAAATATGATGCAGTGGAGCCCCCCCACAGTACGGGTGATCAGCAATGGAGAGAGGAGTTTGAGCCATTCTATAATGTTGAAGACGGTGAAATATCAAAACTCGCAGAACCCTCTTCGTGGTTCTCTGGGTACGATCGATGCAACATATAGACACAAAATTTATAGCAAACTACTAGTGTATGTAATACTAACAGTTCCTGTTATGGCAAATAGGTCTATATGCTACTTTGGTAGTGATACCAAGAGTTCTCACCAATTGTGAGGACCAATGTATTGGTTCTCTTATTGTGCTTTGTATTCAATTTGGATTCTTGCATCATAAGGGTTGAATGAATGAATATTTCTATTCTTTTTCCAAACCCTAACTTATCACAAGATTTCAAGAACCTACAACTACTAGCTTTTTCCTTTTTAGGCATGTGTAGAATGATATGTTCTTCCCCCCACTCCCCCTGGCTGTCCATTTTGTTGCCAAACAAATCAATGGTCATACATGCAACAACTATATGTCCCATTTTCACTATACTACTACTATTATTTTAAGCTGCTATCTGTACCAAGTATGGCACAGAAAGAAAGATAATGAAAAGTGAGTTTGCATCCAAACAAGGCTTTAGAGAGTTTGGATCGTATGGATAGGGTGGTCCCCATTTGTTAGAGACATTGAACTTGCATAAATTCTCAAAAAAACAAATAATGATGCTTACAAGTTTAGATCATTTATTTGTTTGGTTTTGGTGTCAAGAGGATAGGGGGCAATCTTTAAATGGATCAGAGAAGTATGTCCATTGCTTATTTGTGTCATATGGATGGCAAAAGGAGACAATCCACGAGTACTTAACTTTGGCAGCCTCTTGATATATATATATATAGAGAGAGAGAGAGAATGAGTTTTTATCAAGTCATGGAGACCATAAGACAAAGAGCTTGTGACATTGTCTTCTGTGACATGTATCTCTCCCTACTTGTGGACCATTTCTCTTCCAATGGCATTTTACTGTAAATAGGAGATAGAGAGCCAACTAGGGCAAAACTCAACCCCATCCATTCATTATCCAATGAGAAAGGAATATATCCTTTATTTTTATTTTTTATTTTTTTTAAAGTTTTGGGAAGCTTCAAAACAACAACTCTATCTCCCTATTAAACAAGGGGAAATGGGGTTTGAAAGTGACATCTAGATACAGCATCAACCATTTATTATGTAGAGGCAAGAAAACAATTATAACAGGGGGGAAATTGGTCCATTATGAAACCATTAGGAGTTGTTTTGGAACCCTAGATGTTATGCGGTCCACATAGTAGAGACTACTAGCATGAGGTGGGAAAAACATACTCTACAAGTAGACATGTTCGAAACATATGGCAACCCTTTTCTTCATGATATTGAAAAAAGAAAAGGGTTTTTTTTTTTTTTTTTTTTTTTTTTTTTTTCTTCTAGTGTTTGGCAAAAGCAGATTTTGAAAAATTCGGGCTGGGCTATTTTTGACTGGCTAGAGATTTCTCGGTTTCCGTAAACCCGAAAAATGTTCACACCCCCCTTAAGGTTGGAGAGGATGTGATGATAATTTTGAGTTGGATGGCCCTGGTTGGTGAAACAAAATGTTAGTTCTCACAGCCTGTTTTTTCTCTCAACCCAATCAAAGATCATACCAACCTAAGTAAAAGCAAATGATGCTTCTTAGGTGAAAGAAAGAGACATAAAGTGAAGGAAGGTGTGATATGATCAACCATGATAGAGAGAGTGACAGCCTGGTAATTGGACCCCCTCTAATGATCATTAATAATTACCCCACAAAGAAACATATTCCATCAATCACTCCTAACCATTCTCCATCAATGGACCCCTTGGCTTGACATCCAGAATTGCCAAGAAAAACCACTATTAGGGCCCCTCTAAAATGCAGTCAAAACCCATCATTCTGCATTAGACCTCTGTATTCTATAAAGTTAAAAATATCTGAAAATGATTAACAAAAACATAGACTTGATCACAAATTAAAGTGACCTAACAGAAGTTTTAACACGTGACTGTAGTGTTTGCAAAAGAAATCAGTTACTAACTTACTGCCCATTCTTGCTTGTTGAATAAAGACATTTAAGAACATGTAAATGATTTGTTGTGTACGTCTAGTTCTTCAGCTTTTTCATTGTTCTAACAGTAAAATGGTCGAAATATTCACACGTGTGATCGTGGTCATCCACTATAGAGGATCCGAACTCATGTTATAGATGTTTTTACTAAGAGAGTGCTTAGAGAGCAGCAGTGAAGCTAGAGGGGGCCAGCAGGCCATGGTCCCCCCAATTTTTTTTAAAAAATTCTTCTTACACCCTCGCAAATATAATTATTTTATATAAATACCCTAATTGTGACCACCAAAATTCATATAAATTTTTAATTAGCACTACCCTTCCCCCCCCCCCCCCCCCCCCCTCCCCCAAAAAAAATAAAAAATAAAAAAAAAAAATTTCTAACACTTTTTTGTTGTCTCAATGATTACGAATTTATAAATAAATGTTCTTTTTTTCCATGTCAATTTTCATACCTACTTATATAGGCTCATTTGTCTATTCTTTGAATTTTTTTTTCAATATATATATACTAATAAAAATGATATTATAAAAAAATTTATAATACTATTGATTTATAAATTATTAATTTTTAATTACATAGAAGTAGTTTCACTCCCTATTCACAATGATAGGAGTCTTATACACTTGGCTAACACAAATTTATTAATTTATTTATTTAATTTTTTTTTTCAGTCCCAAAAATAAAATTTCTGACTCCCCCCTGTTTTAGAGAGAATTGAATTCTAATAGCCCCATGTGAATGGCAGCATATGTTTGGTGATCCTGATACTAGTTTACTACACAATTAGCTTTGAAGTATCTGACAAAGTGATTTTTAAAAAAAGTTGTTACCAACTACTATTAGGTAAATATAACTAAAAGGGGTCCATCTCACCTGTAGCAATGGGACTATGTCCTGGACTCCCTGTATTTACAGTCCCAAACATTATATATTGGCTTGTAACCGTGATTTGACATGTCGGTTCAATTCATCCTCACAATCCAAAAATTAATAAATATATAATAATAATAATAATATCAAGAAACTATATTTAGGAGGAATTTCCTTTTTATTTATTTATTTATTTTTGGAAGACAATGAGTAAATAGTTGTCATGAAGTGACTTAAATGGCCTTTAGAATGTCCTCCACAAGTCATTAACAAAAATATTCTTCCCAAAAAAAGTTGATTACAAAATGTACATTCCAACTTCCAAGTCTATCACAAGTCTATTCACGTAACTTAGGTTTTCCTGGCCTTTTCTTTTATGAAAGTCTCTTCTATCTTTTCTTATGCCCTCTAACCTCACCTCTCTTTCAGATGCCATATCTATACAACACCCTTATATTATAACTGTTTTGATTACCAAACTATTCAACCTTCAAAAAGAGTTAGGTTGCCAAACTGAACTCTAAATTTTGCAATTAAGATGTTTCAACTTGGGATTCCGGATACATTGTAGTGCTACATATACATAAAAAAATTGTTACATAAGCGATGTAATGTGATTGTTGTATAAAAGATATAAAATTATTGCATAAATGATGTGAAATTATTGCATAAGCGATCTAAATAGCATAGAATGCGACATAGGATGAAATGACACAGGAGATGATCTTGTTTTTCCAATTTGGACCAAGAGAGAAAGAATCCCTAATGTTAACATTAACTTTAGAAATGTGTAAGGGTGTAGATTTCAATTTGGGGCTCCGGATGTAGATCATTATTGTAACATACTACATCGTAGTGCAACATATACATTAAAAAGTTGTTGCATGAGTGATGTAATGTAGTTGTTATATAAAAGATGTAAAATTATTGAATAAACGATGTGAAGTTATTGCATAAGCGATCTAAATAACATAGAACACGACATAGGATGAAATGACACAAGAGAGGATCTTGATTTTTCAATTTGCACCGAGAGAAAGAATCCCTAATGTGTAAGGGTAGAGATTTCTCTTGTTACTGTTTGGAATCTGGATTTTCTTGATAACCTTTCATGGAAAGTTTGTCCATCTTCAAGGGGTATCTATCTACATCTGAACTCCACTACTTTTTTCTTTTCTTTTTCTACTTATCCACATAGATTTTCTTTTCATAATTTTCTAAAGTAGATAGATGGGACAGTAAAGTTTTTCTGATTCCTTAGCCAATTCAGAACTTAACTACTATTGACAACCTGGGCTTTTGATGTTCCTTCTCAATTCTCATTATAAAATTGAAAAAAAAAAAAAAAAAAGTTAAAAGAAAGAAAATTCTAGTTGCTTTCACTCAATACAAGTAACTAAAGATTTTCGGTATAACTTTTGCTTTCCAGCTCAATGTGCATACATATCACTCTTAATCAGCCATTTAGACTTAAGAGACCATATGTCCCCACTAACAGCTGGTTACAAGTAAGAAGCATTATTTCAACAATACTAAATTGATTTATCATAAATTTTTTCCATTGTCCAGTCTTGCAATCAACTTTCTTACTGAATATGACAGCTTTGGAAAGAATATCACTATCATAATTATTTTTCTGTTTGGCCGCCGAGAAGATTTAGGAAAAGATGAGAAAATTTTCATGATGGTGGTTGTAAGAATCTCAATGTCACTCTCTCCTTATTTTTTATCCACCTTCCTACTAACTATCAACCAAACAAAGCAAAAGTGATTCTAACAGAAAATTTAGGCAGTAATCATGGAAAAAGAAGCAACATTATCATCAAAGTGTCCCAATTAATAATTAATGATAAACATTACAGAATATATGGTAGAGAAATATGCAAAACAAGGGTGGGATAAAAGCTTACATGAGTGATAGTCTCTCTCATCAACCCTACAACACACTTCTTTCCATGTTACAACATCTTAACTTGTGGCTTTATAAAATTTTTTGCACCACTGATTGCAATTAGTTCTAAGATTTTACAATGGATTTCTCGTAAGAGTTCTCCAAAGAATCGGTTGCAACGATAGCTAAAAAAGAAAAGAAAAGTAAGAATGAAAGAGAAAATGATCTCTTTCTTGAAGTCCAAATTTGTTTGTAACCCATGTCTCTGTATATACAGAAGCCTCTCTCACTTGGGGCCTCAAGTGAAATCAACAATGTTGACAATGGATTTATAGCTCAACTTTCATCTGGTTAGTAGCCATTGTTCCTGCACCAAACAGTCATGTTTTCAGAGAAAATAGCAGTAAGAAAATTTGTCTAATAGACACGTTTTTAGATAACAGCTTTTTATAGTTTTCTGAAAACAATTTTCTTAAGTTTTCGAGAACTATTTTCAGAAAACTGAACTAAATACTTACCAGGAAAGCTCGGTGGCTGATTTTGGCCAAAACCCATCTGAACAACGCTTTGAAGATCGTCCTCCCAGAATGCGGAAACCTGTAATTTAGTTTTAGAGGCACCATTAAGATTGAGCTCTAGTGACAATTCTGGAAAAATGGATGGAACGCCTTAGAAATCTGTAATTACCTGAGAGGCAATGTCACCAAATCCATCCATTTGAGGCAGCTGCATACTTGGATTTCGACGCAGTGCAGCGTTCAAAGGGTTCATTGAGAAGGGGATCTCTGTACCATTAGAAATGCCACTATGCAATTGTTGCCCTTGTTGAGATTGATACCCATAAGGGAATGCCGTTGATGATGCCTCCAATGGATAAATGTTGTGTGGCATAGCTCCCCGAGATTGACAGATCTATAAATATTTACACAAAATTAATAAATTTATATCGAAATCAAATTTTACTACCACATGAAACTAGAAATCAAGATTGATTGACTTACATCCTTTGACAGAAGAGCTTCCATGTTGAAATCCATCCTTGGATTGACAGTTGCTAGTTTCATTGAAAGGAACTGCAAGACAGATGCACACAATATGAATTTTAGTCATGTCAATCCATTTTGCAACTAGTAAATGAAAGCCCTAACTTGGGATTATCCGAATTTACCTCAACTTGGCGCTGCAGGGACTGCACATAGTTTATGATTTCGTCGAGCATAACAGCTTTTCCAGTCACCTATGGAAAAAATTCAAGCACAATTCAGAATTTTGGGCATAATTATTTTTTCCTTCAGACAATTCAAGTTTGAAATATTTGCGTAAAAGAGCTGCAAAAGTGGCATGCCATGAGCACCTTATTGCAGCCCGGTACAAGATCTTGAAGAAATTTCATTCTTTCACTGATTTTCTCTCGCCTAACCTGCTCAAGATAGATTGACAGAGAAGGACATGTTAATTGGAATCTAATAATGACAATAGTGAGATAATGAAATGCAAAGAACTGCTAAGATTCATACTCTTTCAGCTAGACTGTGGCTATCAGTAGCCTGACCCCTCCTGGCTCTGACATGGATATAGTCCTTAGGAGGCTCTGGAGGCTTTGCACTATCCTTAGATTGTTTCTGATTTCCATCCCCTGCCTTTCCATTTCCATCATCCTTTCCATTCCCAGTAGCTTCATCTGACTTGCTTCTCTTCGGATTGGATTCATCACTCTCTGCTGCAACCTGCTAGTGACACTTCCTTTCCTTAACTTCCACTCGAGAATTGGAAATTGAAAATCAAAATTCGATAAGTCCAAGAATTTGGAAGAAAGTTGAATTACCTTGACATCTTTAGCAGGGGAAGAAGATTGGTTTTCCTTTGCTTTTCCTCTGGGAATTGACTTTCTTTTCCTCCCATTGCCATCATTCTGACCTTTCATCCCAGTTTCCCCACCTGGGATCTGCTCAGAAACTGAAGATCCCTCCCTGGAATCACCCAATTCTCCGTTTTCCGGGGTTGAAGACGACGATAGCCTACTGAATTTCTTATCAGAAGCTGCAATTCCTTCCTCCTGAACACCCATTTGAGATCCAGCAACCTTGACAGACTGGTTATTACTCGAAACTCTCGAGACCTTCACAGACTCCATTCTTGGTGTCAATCTATGAGGCATTTCAGATTCACACACACCAAATTGGCCACTTAGGCCACCAAAAGTCCTGCTACCAAAGCAGGAAAATCTTGCAGCCCTCTCCGCGAATCCGGGATCAGTGGAAAAAGGCGCCAAACTAGGATGGTTGGGCAATTGATTTCCATTATTTGGCAAATTCCCTCTGATCTGATGATGATGATCCATCATTGAGAGATTGAGCTTTGGTGGGGAATTCAAAGGAGTGCTATAACATGAAGTGTTAGTACTGTTGTTGCCTGCAATGTATGACTGAGGTGACACTTCCTCAGAATTGCAAATGCTTCCCAATCTACCAATCAGTTCTCTGAGGACAACACTCTCGCCACCGCCGCTGCCGTTGCCGGTGGTGATTCCGGCAGTGGAGGCCACCGGAGATGAGACCATGGAGCTCAAGGCAGACTCAAAAGGGTCACTCTGATCCATTGAATTCTCCCAATTGGGATTGAAAAAGCAATTGGGTAGTTGTTCTGAACTACAATTCAGGTCATTGGGTTGAATTTCCATTCCGAAACTGGACAGATTGTATGAAAAGTTCTCTTTTTCCATAAGAATGGATTAAACAAGAAATTTTTATTCAAAATGCAATGTGGAATTTGAGAAATGATAATGACCCAACAGAGGATTTGCAGCTACGACCAAGAATCAATGAAGATAAGGACCAATAGAGAAGCCAAAAGTGAAGCTAAGGTTGGAGTTGAAACTAAATGTAAGTATATATTTGTACTTGTAGTTCACTCAAATGAGAGAAAGAAAAAGTTGTGTTTGAGAGAGAGAGAGAAAGAGATTGAGGGTGAGTAGAAAAGCAGAGAGAGAAAAAGGAAAGATAAAGTGAGAGAGAAATGGAGGAAAGTGGAGAGGAAGCAAGAGAGAAAGATGAAAGGAAAGAAACCTCTGTCTGTTTGACCTTTTCTAAATACAGTATTTGTATAATATATACATGTATTTGTATTTACATGTATAATATGTTATTTTTAATTAATACAAAAATCTGAGCCTAAAACTCCGTAACAGACGGTGTGTGTGTTTGTGTGTGCCAGCCCTTAAACGTCAAACCAGCTGAAGTCTCCTCCTTGTCATTCAAGTCTGTTAGTGTGTGTTTGAGCCATAGAAGCCAATGAAAGAGGCACTCCTGTGAGACATGATGTTATGTGTCAATCGTAATGTTTTTATATTGATTACGTAATAATTTTATATTGCTTATGTAATAACGTTACAACAATATATTATATTTGAGTTGCATTTATATGCACATTACTCTCTCTTTATTTTATTTTTTTTATTTATATTTTTCATACTCCATTTTCTCTCTTTCTTGTAATGGAGGACAGAGATGAGAAGGTGATAGATAGCTTTGCTTCTATTGGCAGCGACACATAAAAATAACACTGGGTGGGCACTGTTTTTCATATGGTGGATGTCCTCAATGATTAATGCACAGTAAAAAAGGGATGGAGCGAATTTTTATTTATTTTTATATTTTATATTTTAATTACTTTGTGTGTGTGTGTGTGTGTGTGTGTGTGAGAGAGAGAGAGAGAGAGAGAGAGAGAGAGAGAGAGGTGTTTGCAGTGTGTTAATGTTTAAAGGACTATTTTACTTTTGCAGTTGGTTGATGTTTGGACTTGTTTGGGAAATACTGTGTAGATACAAAAATGAGGGTTTTTTTTTTTTTTTTTTCACCTGTGTGGCCATTGTTTTTTCCACTTTTATAATTTTTTTGTAATTGATAATCTTTGGGAGGTGAAAGAAAGAGACAGAAAAGAATAGTCAAATAACTGATCAAGTGAAGGTGGCTCTAATATAAAGTTTAAATAAACAATGAATTAATCAATTTTTTATTTTTTATTTTATTTTTATGTCTGGTATAATAAATCAACATTTTCATCAATAATCACAATATATGTGATCCCAATAAATGATCAGCACCTTTAAACACTAAACCCAACTTGGCCCAACTGGACCACTTTTACATGTTGAAGCCCTTCTCAATGATTAAGAGGCAAACCACTTTAGGTTGGATTCATTCTTAAATTTAGGTATTTGATAATTAATTAAGTACTTAATTTTGAATAAATAAATATTTATTTAATTAAATGTGTTTAATAAATTTTGAAATAAATGAGACTTTACTTATTACTGAATGCTTAATATTGAAAAAATTATCCAAAAAATTCTTAAATTCTTAATCAGCAATTAAAATTCAACTCAAAATTTTCAGTTTTTATCAAGCAATACTTTACTTGGTGTACGTGAAGGGTTCGGTTCCAATTTTAAAAAAATGAGCTCATAGTAGGAAAAATAATATCTTCACCATGTACCATTTCAATAATTTCATATGTTAACACCATTGTGTGTCTACACACACACACACACACACATATATATATATATTGGGCAGGAGAAAAACCATAGATAAGGTTAACTTAAGCTAAAAATAGGATAATTGAGAACAGTACTGTAAAAATAAATGATGAATGCTTGTGGTCCATTTAGGTTGCCCAAACAAAGGCTTTAGGGAAAGAGTGCAAGACTTGTAGAATATGAAGGACAAACTCCTCAATTGAAAAAGACCAAACCAAGGATGGGTTTTATTGTCTTCTGCTGGATTATTATAATTCTGGGTTTTTGTTTTAATACTGATTAATAATAGTAGGCTCCATTTAACAGTAATCGTTAGGTTTCTTTATTAGTTAATGCCTCCTGATTGCTCCTGATAGGTACATGCCCCAATGTATATAGAGAGAGGGTACTCATATTATATAGTTAGTTATGCTAATGAACCAGCTAAAAGGGGTCCACCCATATATATATATATATATATATATATTAATAATTAAGATAAATTACACTAACCTTCCTTAAGGATTCGTTAATATACACTGAAACTCTACAAGTGTCATATTGTACAAATGGTTAGGTTACTTTGGTGTCTTAGAGCTTGTGTTAAGGTCTAGCATTGTCCTTCTCTCCTAACATTCTTGTCATAAAAAAATAAAAATAAAAATAAAAATAAAATATACACTGACCTCTCATGTACTTGTTGGGATTGTATTATTTAAAACTTAAAAAATTAGTAACATGGGTATTTTTTATTGAAGACCGTGTTGACCGTTAATGAAGGGATTGAAAGGTATGTATTATTTTCATACAAATTTTAAGAGAAATAATTATAATTTGATAAATAAAGGAGAGATCATGTATGCCGACAAAATCTAAATAAGTGTAATTTACTTTAATAATTATATCACGTAGTTGGTTTTTTTTTTTTTTAACTTAATAATAACATCACTTGACCATAGAGGCAATGTAGTGACTATGGTGAAAATTAGGCATGACAGATTGTGAGCAAGTAGGTCCAATAACCCCTCTAATCCTCATTCCTATAAAGTTGAGACGCGGCTTTCCAGTAAAACAATTTAGGTCATATCAACAACTGCGCCTACATATCTAGCCAGCACACACTCATTTTATATATTATACATATATTGAGGTTATATAAGCATCTTTTCATATTTAGCCAACCTATATCTTTGACCATGAAATTAAATAAATGAAGAATTATTACACTCTTGGAAAACCCAATACTTTCTTCTTTTTATACAATTTCCCTTTAATTTCCTGTTAATATTTCATTTAAAAAAGTACAGTAACAGGTGTCTATGATTCCAATAAGATATATAATAGCTACTATATTACTTGTTCAGTCCAATTATTCTTAATACCAAAAGACAAATAGATTTATGTTGTGTTCACATTTACTAAAATATTTCTTAGACTTTCAACATCCCTAAATCAAATTTTGATGTGCTGGTCTATCTCCTACCTCTAGAATAGCAAATCTTTATTGAGATACGAATCCTATTTGTTAAACTATATTTTATGGTGTATTAAAATAACATCATTTTAAAAAAATGTAACAAATGTAACATATATTATTTCAAGAATGTGACACATTTTTATTTTCAAAGTAATAAGTGTCGCACTCTTTAATTATTTGTATCTTTCAAATAAAATTCTAAATATTGCATTATTAAATTATGAAAAATAGTAAATCTTTCGATTTTAATTGCCGACTCCTTCTCTGAATACAACGTGGTTGGATCACATTGAAACTTTTAAAAAAAATCTCGTCAACATCTCTTTTTCTCCGACTCATTCCTAACCATGTTATATTCAGAGAAAGAGTCGGCAATTGAGGTCAGAAGACCTATCACTTTTCTTAAATGATTAGTGATGTTGCATTCTACTCCACATGTCGTATCAAGGACAAATTTGTCACTAATTTGCATTACTGTGGTGAACACGCTTTCTTAAATTATGTATGCACCATCTTGCTGCAATCCGAATACATCTGCCTAGTTAGGGAAGTGTCTCACTATGTACTTAAACATCACCCTCTACCTAAATTCATCATTAATTTTCTACCATGATGTGATTTATCTATATATATAGATATATTTGGCCTTGGTGTGATGTCTTGTACATTAAAGTAAGACATGCGTACGTACATGGTCATACTATCACTCCAAGAAATTGGAGTTTTTAACAAACTTTTTGGTATCATTAATTATATCTAATGCATAAATAGAATCAAGTCAATTGACGCTAGAGTATTTCTTTTTATGAAAATGGATAACACACACAAATCAAGAATTTGAAAAACAGCTCTGCGGGCATAGTACATTTGGATGGTAGGACTGATTTTTGATGTCTAAACGAATCATTATGTAGTGTATTAAGTGAGATCAAATTTACTTCACTAACCAAGTCTGCAACTTAAATCTCATTTAAGAAAATTCTAATATAAATAAAAATATGGTTCCAATTCATAAATTTGATAAACAAGACATACCCGATATGAAAATCTATTTAAGGGAATTAAAGCGAAAACCTTACTTATATCATATAGTAGACGACCTTCAACCCCTTATCTTTCATTACATACAAGATAATGGACTCCAGACTTCTACGCATATATATAGATGAGGGTTGAGACCGTTCCAGTAGATGTTAAGAGGTGTGTTGGTTCCATCAACCAATACAACTCTTCATATGTGACTCTTCAACAAAACAACACAACTCTTAAATATATAGGTGACTATTCATTCAAATATATGAATGACTAAATATTAATTAATTATTGTTAGATTATTAATTTTTTACTTACATTCTCCCACTTAGTCTAACGATAATTAATTCTGATTACGTCAAGATCAAAATGATCATTGAGTGCACTCCAAAAGTTAATCCATATATATAAGAAACACATCTGTCATCAATTTGGAATGCCTTAGAGTCTACTAATATGGGATCAAGGGCGTCATTATATCATCAATGATATAAGACACCAATGGTCACTGATATTAACAAACTCAACTCCAAAGTCACATATATACCGCACATGCATATATTCAACACAATATTTATGTAATGCATCGGTCCTACCGTATCTCAATAAGGACACATCGTGTCTCAAAACAGGACACTTAAATCACAATTTTCCATACACATGTGCACCAATATAGAAAATATCTAGTAAATGAGGATAATAAATGTGATCATAAAATAAAATTGTCTTTACCTAAGCCAAATATAACCTCCCACTAACTAATTAAATTAATGTTGTCAAAGAGAAATTTGCATGCTTACTATATAGCATTAGCGACAAATCCTTAGTTATGGAATCAACAATCTTTTGTTGGGTATCAATGTGCTCAATCAGACACTAGCTGGTTTTGTATCCTCTATTTCACAACAAGGTATTAACGGTCATATTTTAGACCAACTAGAACTCTTGTTGTTTCTGTAATATAATACTGTAGCTGTATTGACCTAAAGTCCAAAACTAATTTTTTATAAAGTATGAAATGTGGCCTTATAACATGCAAATAAACTCCGTTTCTATCACTTATCATAATAGTAAAACAATACTTGAAGTGGATTTATATATTGTCCTGATAACCAGCAAAGTCGGTTTTCACCACTCCTATAAAGATATGGTTCTTAACTATTTGCAGATATTTTATAAATTTCTTTACCACGTACTATAGATCCAAATCAGGATCGCTGTGATATCTGTTTAACTAGCAAATGTTATATTATAGTTAACCATATGCAAAACCTAACCATACATTAGGTTCCCAAAGGCATAGAAAATGCCTTTTACCTAATACTGCTATAAATATTTTCTTGGTAATTGGATTACCAAATTTCTCAACTTTTACAATGAGTGCAATTCTACCTCTATCGTGTTATATGTCAAATACTTTCAGAACTTTATCTAAATAGGTTCTTTGTGACAATCTAAAATTTCACGAGATTTATTTAGATGAAACTTAATGCCAATAAAGAGTCTTCACCAACATAGTCATCTCAAATGTTTGAGACAAATTGTTTAATCTCATATAAATAATGCCACAACTATCATTTTACATTTAACACAAAGATGAATTTTACTCCTACTGACTTTGAGAATAACTAAAGCCACACATTTACAGTTTAATAGATGGGAAGGTCAACTAAACTTTCCAAAGTTAATTAAATAATACTTCAAAACAATTCACTTTGAATGGGATCAACATAACATATAATTATCTTTCCTTTGGGCCAAAATTATCATATATTAGTCTCCCACCGATGAAATAACTTTCACCTTTGAAGCTAATTAATCATAAAAAAACACAATAACAACTTATACTCCTTTGGGTGTAATAAGTCATCAATTATGTATTCCACATTAATAATCAATGACCCACCTTTGGGCTTGATCATTGCTTGTTTTTACTAAACGCCAACACAATCCTCTAACTTTAGCAAAATAATAATTTTACCACTAACTACAAATATCATTAAATTTTTTATGAGTGTACCACTTTGGTGACTAAACACTCAATCAAACTTAACAGCATTGTGCTTAGGATTGCAAAATGATTTAATTTTCCCGAATAAATCAAAATACTATATACATATTATGCAATAATATGAAACATGAGGCACATGCTTAATTATGTATATAATTTCAATAACATGTATAATTACACAATTCATATATGCTATGAAACTTTAAATTAATCATTGACTATGCCATGCATATCATCAAATATATAAAACATTCAACCAGTGATGATAACTTAAGAAAAATGGCATTTTTATGAAAATTAATATTTAAGAGACAAAATAAGATCCAAAATTTTCAAAATTTATACATGTTATATAATAAAAATTTCACCAATTAATATATTAAATTAGCGACCTTATTGATCGAGTAAGTAGGGGTGCATGCAACACGACTCTGGGTGGAGAGACATGACTATTGGTTTAAATTCAAAAGACATGTCTGTTGGTTTAATCCCAAAAGACATGACTATTGATTGCAATTCAAAAGACATGTTATATATGTATATATATAACGAATCAACGTTAGTAACCCAAACTAAAACATGTAATGGTACTTTGAAACATATAACCCTTCACCATCAGCATATTAACTGCATGTTGTTGTTGTCATGCACACTCCAATTGAGTTTATAGCAATACAATTGAGTTTTTAACAAAACATCTCTAAAATACTATTCGCATAACTCTTGGTGCACAGACCACAAAGGCTACGTACCGGTGCATGTAACATACATGACAAGGTAGGTACGTTGTTGTATGAGTGGTACTGTTTCACTTACAACTGTCATAAACAATCGCGACCATTTGATATTATTGATCCAACGTAACATTGGTACATGAATATTAGAAATTTATTTTACAGCCTAACGTGATGTATGACACCCAAAGAAACGACAGTTCTTTCAAGAATGTGTTCATGTCTCTATAAATGTCACAGTTCTTGTCACACTCTTATGGAGACATAAATACCCAAAATTACATTCACGTTGTTGTCCAACACATTCACGTTAAAACAACTATGATAACATTGGTATAAATTTTGAAGATACATACATGAATATCAATTATATATATACATGAATATCAATTATATATATATATATATATATCTTTGCATACACAAATTTTGAAGATGCATACATGTTTGTAATACAATATAATTGTACTAAAATATTTGATACTTTCATGCATACATAGTGTGTATATATGCGTGATGAAAACAGAGTATATATACACATATATATCTATGTCCTTTTCCATCTCAAACATGTAATGCATATAAATTTCATACTATACTATTAACAATATATTATTAACAAATAAATCAAATTTATGCATCAAAGTCTATGTTGGCTCTGATACCACATGTAAGAAAATTCTAACATAAATAGAAACATGGTTCCAATGCATAAATTTGATAAACAAGACATACCCGATATGAAAATCTATTTAAGGGAATTAGAGCGAAAACCTTACTTATATCATATAAGAGACGACCTTCAACCCTCTTATCTTTCATTGCATACAAGATGATGGACTCCAGACTTCTACGCATATATATAAAATGAGGATTGGGACCGTTCCAATAGATGTTAATTAAGAGGTGTGTTGGTTCCATCAACTAACACAACTCTTCATATGTGACTCTTTAACAAAACAACACAACTCTTAAATATATAGGTGACTATTCATTCAAATATATGGAAAACTAAATATTAATTAATTATTGTTAGACTATTAATTTTTTGCTTACATCTCATTGGTGTCATGAAGCTACTGGTATGGATAGGGAGTCCTTCAATTAGAGGTGCTTAATTTTGTTTGGGAAAACTATACATAGATAAAGTTAATAGTCATAAATAACAAGTCGATCTATTTTTAAAAAGGTTATTTTTCACTTTGATTGAATTAAAAATAATAATTACAAATTACAAATGTATCAAGAACTATTATTAAGGTCTAATATGTCCTCTAAACTCTTATTTCAAAATACCAAAATGTTTTTTTTAAATTATATAATTTTATAATATTAAAATAGATAATTAAGAACTAATTTGACTAGCAATTAAGTTTTAGATATTTAATGAGATTAAATGAATCCGAAGTATCTCGTTCTATCATTTGATTAAAATTGCTCAAGAATGTGATGCATTTAAGATTTTTATTCAAAAAGAAATGATGGCTCATCTTTTAAATGAATCTGAAGTACCTCATTCTATCATTTATTATATGTAATGCATAAATAGAATTGTGTCAATTAACACCAGAGTATTTCTTTTTATGAAAATGGATAACCCAAACAAATCAAGAATTCAAAAAATAGCCCTGCGGGTGTAATACATTTGGCTAGTATGACGAATTTTTGGTGTCTCAACGAATCATTATGTAGTGTAATAAGTGTGAGATGGAGTCCTTCAATTGGAAGCGCTTAATTTTGTTTCACACTTGACTCCCAATTTGTTGTGTGTTACAAGTATTTTGATTTTGAACAATATATCATTGCATTATTTTTGATCGAGCCTAGTATGAACAATGATAGACATCGTGATCGAGACTAGTTGGTTGTCTCACAAAGTCGAATTCCTACCACATAGTTAGGAGAAATTATTGGGTACCTCAGGGGTGCCACGTCAAAGCCACTAACTGGTACCCCCATCCAATAGAATAATGCCATATGTCATATTAGAGAAACATTCCATGTCAGCTTCAACTCAGCCAAAACAGGGAAACAAAAAGACAGAAAGTTAACACCATCTAAACAGTCGCTGAAAACAAAAATCCCGCCCAAAATTATTTTCCCCAAACCCAAAATCCCGCCTAAAATTCTTTTCCCCAAACCCATAAAGTACTTCTGAAAAAATATTTTTTTATTTCACTCCATCCCGGAGAGTGGCAATAAACAATTCAGTCCAAAATTTTCTCTCTGGTCGACAAAGCCTACAACGAAGAAGTTACCGGAAGAGGTATGACTTTACCAATTATTATTCTATCTTCTCCCATCACTTTTTTTTAATCTTGTGAAAATCTAAAATTTCTGCTATATTATTTTCTAATGGACTGCTTTTATTCTCCTTGTTCTACATTGTCATCCTAGACACCAGTCATTGTTTGTTGATTTATGTATTGATTGTTGCTTAAATAATAATAATAATGAGAATTAATTGAAGTGTTAAAAAGGTAATAGTATTTGCAAGTCATATCAATTTGATAAATCAACTACTGTTCTATGTGTCATGGATATCATTAATGTGTGTCAAAATTAAGTACTCTCTCTTTTTTCGTTTTCTTTTTGTCCTTCTAATTCTAAAAGTAGTTTGATAGGTTTTCTTATTGTAAATAGATTTTGTGGTTTTAATAGGCAACTCATCAAAATGGAGTCATCAGATTCAGAGTCGTTGAGAAATGAAAATGGGGATTTTAACGTACTTAAAATTGGAATGGAAGTTTCTAGTGAAGATGAAGCATATAGATTGTACTGTGAGTATGCTTTGAAGAAGGGTTTTAGTGTTCGAAAAGGAAATTATCGACATGGGAGTGGTGGAGTAATCAGGCAACGTGAATATTTGTGTGCATTTTCAGGACAATATCGATATGGTGATCCTTCCGATCTGAAAAAGGTTAGAAGATTGGTGACACGAATGGGTTGTAAGGCTTCAATTAGGTTTTCCATTATAAATGGAATGTGGAAGGTAAGTCATTTCAGTGATGATCACAACCATGATTTTGTTGCTCCAGAAGAGAGACAATTTTTAAGAATAAATAGAAATATAGATTCTGCCAGTGCTAGCATTATTAATTCTATGGTTGATGCTGGTATAAAAGGGACAAAAGCCTACTCATATATTTCAAAGGAAGTTGGTGGGTCTGAACATGTTGGATTTACTCAAAGAGATTGTCACAATTTTACCAATGAAAAGAAGCAAAATCTGATTAAAAGAGGAGATGCATAAAGTATAATGAAACATTTTAGGTGTTGTCGAATTGAAGACCATATGTTCTATCACGATGAAGAATTAGACGAGGAAGGTCGTTTGGCAAATTTCTTTTGGAGAGACGGGAGATCAAAATTTGATTATGATTGTTTCGGAGATGTTGTGGTGTTTGACACCACATATCGAACAAACAAATATAACATGATATTCGCTCCATTCGTCGGGGTCAATCATCACTTAAAAAATATTTTATTTGGTTGTGCATTTTTGTTAGATGAAACTACCGATTCATTTGTTTGGTTATTTGAAACTTTTTTAGAGGCAATGGAGAATAAAGCACCGAAGACTATATTTACCGATCAGTGTCAAGCAATGGCAAATGCCATTAAGAAAGTTTTTCCAAATACTTGTCATCGTCTTTGCTCATGGCACATTTCGAAGAATGCAACTCAAAACATTGGGAGCTTGTATGCTAATTATGAGTTCAAATGTTTGTTTAACAAATGTCTACATTGTGAAAAAAAGGATGAATTTGAAGCAACTTGGGATGAGATGATTAGAAGATTTTGTGATGGAGGCAACAAATGGCTTAAAACACTTTATGGATTAAAAGAAAAGTGGTGTCCCGCTTTTAGCCTAGACACCTTCACTCTTCGTATTAAATCCACTCAAAGGAGTGAAAGTATGAATAATGTTTTAAAGAAGATATCTTGCAAGACCATGGCCTTAATGGAATTTGTGCTACATTATGAAGAAAAATGTGAGAAGATGCGTTTGGCAGAGACTCATGAAGATTTTCGTTGTAAACATAGAATGGTGCAACCAAAAATAAGAGAGAGTGAAATATTGGAACAAACAGCTAGTGTTTATACAACTAGTATTTATTACTTATTTGAAGATGAGTTTCTTTCTAGTTTGAAGGTGCATCTAGAACAACTTGGTAGTCTTAATAAACTTCACAATTATCGTGCGTTTCAGGAGCGTCACAAAGAGTGCCACATTATAGAGTACGACTCCTCAAATTATAACGTCACGTGCTCTTGTAAAATGTTTGAGTCCGCGGGATGGTTGTGTCGGCATGCACTTAAGGTTCTCAATTTGTGGAATATCACCGAGATACCATCTCAATATATTATTGATAGATGGAAGAAATGTGCAAAAGATAGAAATGTTGTTTTTGACCAAGGTGAGTTATCCACGCAAAAAAAAACATCACTAACTGTAGAAAGGAACTTCTTACTTCAACAGGCTTATCGTGCTATCAATTACTTGGTTTTGAGTGATGAAGGAAAAAATGTGGCAAAAAGCCATGTGCAATCAATGTGGGATGAAACTCAAAAACTAATGGAGGCTTGCAATCTCAATAAAAGAAGTGCTGATTCTAGTTGTGATCATACCGCGGAAAGTTGTGTACAGTTTAATGATATGTCCATATTGGATCCTTTACGTGTAAGGGAAAAGGGAATAACCAATGCACGGTTAAAAAGCCATATGGAAAAGAAAAAACGTAAAAAGGCAGGAGGTAACACAATTTTCTCTACATTTACTCAATTTGTTTTTCATATTGAATTTACCTATCCAAACTTATGAGTTATAATTATTTATTGCAGCACCAAAAGCACAAACAAGTGTAAAGCATTCAGTTAGCACCTTTGGTAGCTCAGACACTACAGTTGGCCATGTTCATATGACGAATGGTCGTTCATTTGGTACACCAATGCATGCTAATTTTTACAATCCAAGTCTTTCCCATGAGGTACATTTCATTTTACTTTAATAACTCAAAATACATTAATAACCCGTCTTCATATAGTAAATAAATAATTTATAGGTTATATATTCATTTGTGCATGACATTTTTCAACACGTTTTTGTAGGATGTCATCTCAAACAACCCCGGTGATTGTGAAAGAAGCCGACAAATGCTAATATCTCAAGAGTCGTTAAATCCTGTTGATTCCCTAAAAGATGATGGTTTAATTGGTACAACTTTGTAGATTTTTTTTCTATAATTCATTCTAAACAACACTATTCTTAACTAACCACACACATATAAATATTTTTTGTAGGATTTCTACCAATTGGCCAACATGAAAGTTGAAGTTGGATGACTTATGAAGATCAATAGTCTGAAATTGTTTTATTTTGTTTTAGAGAGTGCTACTTTCTTCCAAGAATTGCACTTTTATCATATTAAGGATACTATGTAATGTTTGGATTGTAACGAGTGATTGCCTTGCCTTTACTTTTAGTAAATTTGTTGTCTTTATTCCATGATCCGTAGTTTGAAGTTCTTGTATCAGTACTTAAACCCTGAAACCAATTTAAAAGGGTAAACCAAATGTTTTTTTGTAAGGTTTTAAGGATAGAGGTATCTGAAGCTTTTGACAAGAAGATACAAGTCCAGTGATGTACTTGTCAAAAAAAAAAAAAAATCTTTTTTTCTTTATTCAAGCAAATAATGAATTTAGATTATTCTTGGTAGATGTTTTTTTCATGAAAAAGGCTCAATCAATAAAAATAATAGGTATTCTTGTGAGAGAATTTGTTTGTTAATAAAAATAATAGTAAAACTTAGTGGTTGATAATCCAATCAATATACAAATAATGGGCATCCTTGGATTACTAATTGAACTGCAAAGCAAACATTCAGATGTACACCAGCGAATACAGCATTTTAATGAGTTTCCAAACCACCACTGGGATGTGCAAAAACCAAATGTAGGATCTCTGATAGAGAGCTTTTGTGCATCTCTCCTCAAGCCAAGCTTGGCTCAGCAAAAAGTGCATTATGAGTCCATACAAGTACTGGGCTCTACTAGGTGCTCCCTGTCTCTCCTCTCGTTCAAGGTCATACTGGCCCTTCCCTACTTCTCCTTGTTGCCTCTTTTTCCCCATTGAGACCAAGGGTTTGACCAGTATTTTTTCTTTAGAACCTCCAAGAATAGGTTTGTTTGGATGGATCTCCACAGTTCGGCTGGGTTTACATCATCACAAACAAAAGGAAACCCCTACGTTTTTTTCGAAGTTACCTGTGTTCAAACAAAACATTGATCAACAAGAAAATAATTATTGACACATTTAAAGCTGAATATCAAAATATGAATTCAAATTAAAAAATTCAACAAACCCATTGGAAACAATGGATCTCAAAAATTGCGAGAAAATGAAAGAAATACAAAATAGTGATGAAAGAATTCATACTGAGAGAGATCTGTGGTGGTGTTCATCCGGCAATGGAGGCAAGTTCTACTAGATTTTGATGTCCATTTGTGAGATGTGGAGTAAGAAACAGCTTTATTCATTTTTCCACCAAAAATTTTTCTTTTGTGGCATTTGAGGAAAAAAAATATTATAATGTGAAATTTGAAATTTGAAAATTGAAAATTTTGACTCAATTGATTTTAAACGGTGTTAACTTTCTGTCTATTTGTTTCCTGTTTTGGCTTAGTTAAAGCTGACATGGAATGTTTCTCTAATATGACATATAGCATTATTCTATTGGATGGGGGTACCAGTTAGTGGCTTTGACGTGGCACCCCTGAGGTACCCAATAATTTCTCCATAGTTAGGCCCATTTTCTCTCTCTGCCGCCTGGTGTCACAAAGTTTTGAAATTTTCACACACACACACATGCATATATATATATTACATGCAATTCATATGTCAGAAGACTCGATATAACGTGTATATATGTAGGAGTTAGAAAATTGCATTGCATGCATGAACTTGGAATATATAGAGTCAAGATCCGACAACTACCACTTACTGTACTCCATCACTTCCTTTCCTCACCAGCCACCTCCACCGCCCACCATTTTCCTTCTTACTGCTACCCATCTCTTTCTCTCTCTACATTTACACATACATACATATATATAATATAAATCTGTATTTTTTTCTCTATTCCATAGAAGTAAACAGCAAAAATTAAATAACACTGACAACTCTCTCCCTCTCTCTCTCTCTTAAATTAATTATTTTTCTGGTTTCAAACTTCAAAGATGCTACAATGTCGGCAGTGAAGGCTCAATAAATAAATTACACCTACGAGAAGAAGGTTCAATAAATACTACAATCCGTCTTCACATAACGTGACGATCAATCATTTGAAACACACATATATGTGTTTGACCATTTATTTATGTGCCTAAGGACACGTGTTGCTTTCCAATTAGTCAAATTTTAAAAATGACCACTGACTGTTGCAGTTCTTTTAACATTTTATAACAAAGTATAACTCTCTTCCAATCAAAGCTTGGAAGGAATCATATACTCCAGAGGTTAATCATTTAGGTAAACCCTTTTTTTAAAATCGACATTCGATTATTTATTTCTCAATAATTATTTTTGTGTCAGATTTTTATTGTTTTTATTTTTATTTTTTTATATATATATATTTATTTAATTCAATATTTTCTGTATCTTATTTTAGGGGTTTATTTATAGAAGTTGTTCTTGTGTTTGCTTCTCTTCCAAGCGCGGGATAGTTGAAAAATGACAAATTTTGTAAAGAATATAAAACTTAGTCTAGTTGTCTTATATTTCAAAAAAAAAAAAAAAAATAATGAATATGAAACTTAGAGCCAAGTTTACTTTGTATTTTTGTATGGTAAAGGAAGCTTTAATATATTACCTTTATCTTATTCTTTGTCCGGCCCATAGAAAGGGTTGAAAACTATGATGCTAAGAAAGATGAGAATGAAGGCATTGTCATGGCCCTCACACCCTTTAACTTTCTTTCTTTAAAACTTTGGTTAAAAAAACATGGGTGGACTCAGTTGTTAAGGGATTTTAAGGAGCCAACAATAAATTTGGACGTCTTACGTACATTTAACTCTCACACAACACAAAATACTCAAATTTAAATGATATATATGTAATTTGCACGAATGATATGTAAGAACTGATGTCATTATGACATTAACAATATTAATAACATTATGATGATATCATTCATCATTCATATAAATTAGTCGGATATATTAGACTATCGGACTCGAAATCATTATCCTTATTATAATTTTTTTTTTTTGATAAATTAATGTAAAGCCTAAAACGGTTGTTTGTATATATATATATATTTGTAAATATGACATGTCATGGTAGATTTATACAAAAATTTTGAACTACTCATTTTTAACTCCAATCATTATTTTATACATTTTGTGTAAAAATATACTATCCGTCAATAACAATATTTTGAATAACTAAAAAGACAAATGCCATAGGCCAAGAGACTCAAGCTTGCTGGAGATTCTCTTTCACACGCATAAACTAAAATTTCTTTAATTGTAGTGTCATACAAGTGTACAAGAAGTAACAGTTGTAATTTGTAGCTATATAAAAGTGTCATTCACTTGCTATATACTTACATTTGTACGCATTTTTCTTATTTATAGCCACAAAAAGGCCAATCATATATATTTTATTACAAAACTGTTTCTTTCACATTGTCATTTATCGCTTCAACCACATCGCTATCACCAAACTCTACCATCTCTCTACCAACTCCACATCATACCAGTTGTATCGATCTCAAACCTATTTTCAATAATTTTTTTTGTTTTTTTTTCCTCTTAATTATTACTTATTATTATTTTGAAAATAATTGGATGTAAATGTTAATTTTTTTTTTGATCGTTATTTTGTAATAGGGCAGAAAACTAATTCAAAGCATTAGGACAGTCTTTAGAAAAAAGTTATGAAGAACTTAGAAAAGAAAAAACTATTTTCAGAGAAGTTCTTTGAAATCAAGACTTTTTTTAACTAAATTTTTGTATAGCTTTTCAATTTTCAATTCTCAAAAAATATAAAATTGTTCTAAAAATTTTAAACCAAGCCGCCTCATCCTTTCAAATAAAAGTTGGAGGGTTTGAATCTCATGAGACAATAATGGATGCAGATTTGCCTATCAAAATTTTATATAATAGTGAAAAGGTTTTACAACATTGAAATGAGGTAATTTTTTTATTATCTATGTTTTCTCTAAAAGAAAATATATATATATATATATATATATATATATTTTGGTTCAAAGTTCAAACAAACACACACCGGCCATCTATGTATTTTTACAACAATTGGAGCTCAAGCACTTAACTTCTCTCTTTTGAAGAGCTTATACAATTGTTCACTTGGCATCTAGTATGACTTTCAATTTAAAACACACAAGCTTAGTATGTCTTTCTATTTATAACACAGAAACTTTATCTCTATCTCTATATGAGAACTTGAACCATTGACATCACCCACTATATTCTAAAATTCTAATTAAGCATTTGTTTCTTTATATATAACTCAAGTTATTATTGTTAATAATAATGATAATATCAGCTTTATTAGTAATATATCTTGGTGTGAATATATTTTGCATCCTTGAAATTCAAGATAACATAATTTTCTATTATATATGTCGAATTTGAGCAAAGTAAAAGTAGGGGACATGGATTGTGTGTCACTGTAAAATAACGAAAGAAAAAGAGTGGAAAAGAAGGTACTTTGCATGGGAATATTCTGGGCTCCAGATAAGTTAATTTCTTATTGACATTGTTACATTGAAGCATGTAACCGGCAAACCTCCCATTTTTCCCGCATAAAACCTTATTATATATATATATTAAAGTGACATTACCATAAAGTCACCATTCATCATCACTTAGGTAAACAAAAATAAATAATTATATATATGTTGAATTTTGAATGAGTGGAGTCCCTTCAGGTTCCCATTTTCATTGGACGTGTTGACCTTTTGATTAATAATAATATTATATACAGACTATACAGAATATGCACACACATACATACATACATACACATATTTTCAAAATCAGTGGATGTGTGGAAACTTCAATTAACTCTAAATTTGTGGAAATAGTTTTGAATTGTTTCATACATGTTTGATTAATAGTTTTATGCTCTAAAAATATAAAAAATTAAAAATCGAATATCTCTTTCTTCATATTATCTTTTGGGAGGCTATTATATTCTCTAATTAACTCTATAGTTGAAAAATGCACATTTTTCCATCCTGCTGCTTGAATTCTTATTTTGTTGGGCCTACCAGAGGCCCATAACGGTGCTTTGGTGGTGGACTGGTAAACCAAGTGTTTAAAAGAGGTTGGGCTGACCCAGTCCAATATTTTAGAGTCCAATGATGGGCTCTCCAGTCCATTGATCCTATGATGGACCCAACTAGTCGGGCCTAAAACAAAATTGAAAACCAACTCAATCCACGGGCCTAAAACAGTTTGCATAACTCAAGCTTAATTCAAAGGGCCCTACCCACCGTCCGAAAAGGTCTGGACGGGTTGACTGAGACAGAAAAAACGGTGAAGGGCCAAGGCCTCTCTCTCTTCTCTCTCTCTCTCTCACTCTCACTCTCATATGGTTTGGCGCTCCGTAGACACAGAAGCAAGCAACGATGGCTCCCATAGTTCTCATGGTGAGAATTCCTCCAACTTCCCTAGTTGTTCTTGGTTTTAACACTGTCATCTTCCTCTGTTTTTACTCTCTAAAACTATCCCATATTTCATATATATATATATGTATGTATGTATGTATACATATATTTCAGGTAGCAGAGAAGCCCAGTATTGCTCTCTCTATTGCCTCTGTTCTTTCCAGTAATCAGGTATTCTCTCATTTCTTTTCTTTTTTTGATTTTTTTTTTTTCCTTTCCGTTTTGAGACCCTACTCAGTGTTATTTTGGTGCGGCCATTTTAGGGTTTTAATTGTCTAGTGAATTTAAATGGAATTTAAGTCTCTGCTAACTTTGAACATTGTATTTGATTTTCACTTCTGGTATTCTAATTGTGAATCAACAGTTTGGATCCTGTTATCATTAGTGTTAGAATTATTGCATGCATTTGATTTCAGTTATGGTATTCTATTTGAGAATGTGCATCAAAGTGGGCACTTCCAAATTTGTTCAATTACCAGTCAGAGCTTTAATGTCGGATGCTGATAGTTCACTGGTTTTAGTGCTAGTATTTGTTGTACGTTATTTAATTTACTGGGATGGATGGAGACTGGAGTTATGTCGGGAAAACATTGGAAGTTCCCATTTATTTTAAAAAAACAAAAGGGCATGTTTGAAGATGTTCAATTTCATTTTTGGTGGAAATTTTGAACAGTGGGGTTCATCATAGTGGTTTCGGTTGATTTTGACTTTTATGTTGAACTTTTTTAAGAACCATCATTTGTCACTGTGATGAGCTCTCTTTGTATGTGTGTGTGTGAGTTTTTTTTTTGGGGGGTGGGGGTATTGAGTACTTTCGACGTAGGAGGTGTCCTATATATCTGATGCTTTGTGAGTTTCTGGACTTGGACCACAGTGGCCCTTCATTTTGTAAGCAGTGACATTGTTTAACTTTTATTCATCTCTAAGTCATTTAATCCGTACTTGCGTCATTTGAAAATTTTGAAATTTTTGGTGCATACTCATGCCTTATGTTTGCCCATCCTCTATTATATTTTTTGACGGAATTTTCTTTTCAGTAATTTCCCCTAGAAAAATTTCGAGCTCTATTTTCTATTTGTTAAAATGCTGTATTTTACTGATGAATTTTAAGGTAAGTGTGACTTAAAGGCACATTTTGCTGCAGATGTCAACACGGAGGGCTAGTACTGAAGTCCATGAATTTGACGGAATATTTTTGGGATTACGGGTGCATTATAAAGTGACATCGGTCATTGGACATGTTTTCAGGTTTCTTTCTCAACTTTATCAAAGACCATGATTAAATGCCTTTCCAGCTAATTTATAATGCCTCAATTTCTTGTGACCAACCGGCGAGTGGCTTAGTGGTATCAGCCTCTTACCTCTCAAAGGGAGGTCAGGGTTCAAGTCTCAGAAGAGACAAGTATGTGTGAGTACCAACTAAGGAGAAAAAAAAAAAAAATAAATAAATAAATTTAAAAAAAGAATACTTATCAAAAAAAAAAAAATTTGTCTGTTTCTTGTAATGTGTTTGTGTCATAAATAATTTAGTCCTAGATTAGCTACTTCATTGTTCTTGTTCTTTTAGGCGCATATCCATCCATGTGTTCTCTGTTTTCTGCTCATTTTCCTTTTCACCGGGCAATAGGGCATATTAATCAGACAGATTATACTGTGATGTGTATCTGAAGTCAGTTCTATACAAAACCAGACGTGCAATTTGTTCACTCCATTAGATGATGGTTGTTGGACTTTTTACTTAGGTGAGTTGTGAACAACGAGCTACTCTAAATTGGATTTGTGGTGTGTTGTAATGTGTGATGTGATATTGATTACATAATTATCACAGAATGCTTAATTGTGAATGCAAAACTACTCCAAATTGATCACAGAATGCATTTTGGGTTCATAAATCACAGAATGCTTCCTACATTTTGGTTCATAATTGATCAAGGGAGATTGTCTATGTTAACATTTCCTGACTTGTAATTGTGCTCCTTATATCTTTTTGTTTGAGGTTTGTATTGCATATATCTTTTCGTTTCCTTGAAATTAGATTTAGCCATTTTAGTCTTAATGCAAGACAACAATGCCTTTCATCTATTGATGCAAAATTAGTGGGCTATCATTGATGAAAAGTAAGTCAGGCGGCATCAAACTTTTAATTACCTTAATACTGAAGTGCTTTGGGTAGGGTTCTGTTGAAATGCAGAGCTTAACTGGTATAGTAGTTGTTACATTGCATGCTTAATGCCAATAATTGAATGGGTTGGAATTCTGAATATGGAAATTTTCTCTTCTTGCAAGTCTAGTGTAGATTTTCCGTCAGCTTATCAAGATTGGGTGGCGACAGATCCTCTCGATCTTTTCCAAGCTCCGACTCTTAAGGCGGAATCAAATCCAAAGGTGCAACTTTGTTTCTACCTTCCATCTTTTCTATGTTCTTAAATCCGGCCTTGTTTTTAGTTTTCTTTTAGGTATCATTCAAGTTGAATACACAATGATGAGAAAATATTTGTGTGATGAGGTGGCTGAAATTTTTTAATTGTTGAACATACTTGTGTGACAATTGAAACCCATGTAGATTGAAAAGGAAATGTTGTGCACATGTCATGTAGTACCATATCAATTTTCTTACTGCTGTATTGTGTTGTATTTCAATGAAAAACAATATATTTTTTTTAATAATCAATATCCACATGTGCATATGGGTGTTTGGGCATATGTAAATAATTACTTGGGCTGCTGGGTAGTTGGTTGAATTAGTTCCTATTTTATGCTCTGTTCGGTAGGGGGGATGCAGAAATGGATGGAAGTGAGGAGAGCGGGGATGGAAAAGGCATCCGGAGGGTGTGCATCCTTCCTTTTTTTTAGGTTGAAACTTGAAAGGAAGGGAAGCAAAGGAATGGTCTATTATTTTACTCATATGCCTTTAAAACTAAATATATATAAATTACTATACTTAAAAACGAGGGTACTAGCATCTTTTCAATATGCTAATAGGTTGCAATAACTTTGAAAAAGCAAGGGAATCTAGTATGGCTTGTTAAAGGAACAACCAAACTAGTCTGATGTGAGCTTAATACGGTAATTAAGTCAAATTTATTCTATCTGCCTTTCAAGCATATTCTGGTCTTCCAGGAAATCTTTCCTTCATATGGAATTAGGCATAACATTATTGTATTTGTTGGATTATTTTTGATTTCTTGAATAGCATGTACATGATCTCTAAAGTGTTTTTTTTCCCTTATAATTTTTAATTCGATATTTACTGACTGTATCTTTGGTAATAAGGCTCATATCTGTAGGCATTTAAGCCAAGAAGCTCGTGGTTGTGATCATCTGGTATTATGGTTAGATTGTGACCGTGAAGGAGAAAATATATGCTTTGAAGGTACTTTCTTTTTTTCTCTCTTCTGTAATTATCTTAATATATCTTATGCCCAGCTAAAATTTAATTTGTTCGATAATTAAATCCATAAGAAGGTAGGATATGTCCTCCAGGCACCTTGTGCATGAACCTACAAAGGCACTAAATGACCCCTGGACTTCATCAGGATGCCACGTTGATTCCTAGGGGCCCATGTGAATCTACAAGCATGCATATCACCTGGATCCTGAGCTGCTGATATTAATACAAGGGGTAGGTAGGTTAATGGTTTGAGGCTATGAAGTCCACAAAGATGGTGGATATTGAGACTGGGGGCCAAATACACCTCTTAAAGGGATTTTTAGATCCTTGATAACTACCTAGGCAGGAGTAGGTTGAGGTAGCTGTTAGACCTTGGTACTTGTTGGCAGTGTGTTCGTATGTCACACCATGAATCCCAGAGATTGATACTGCATTGGCTAGAGTTGGGGGCTAATCAAACTGGTGGTGCTTGCCATTGGTCTGCTTGAGATTTGTAGCACACATCTTAGCAATAGGGGAGTGAGAGCTTGTGTTATCTTCTGCATCTGTATTACACAGTGAGAGCCTGATTATTGATTGATTATGGTTGACAAATTGGAATTTGTTAAGAACAAAGTTATTAGGACTGGGATTCTACAATCGATAGGTGGTGCATAGTATCAGATTATATGAACAGAAGATTCTACAAAATGAGAGGAGAAATACTAAAACAATATTTAAAATAAAGAATTCGTAAAATCCACAGGACAAGACTAAAATAAATTAAATATTACAAACATATGGAACATTTATATATGCACAAGTTTACCAAGCAATTGGGGAATGTAGTTTGAAAGGTAGAGCCCTTACACCAAACATTGAAGTATTTGGAACTGTAACGTTGTCCGTGGGAAACAGAAGAAAGGAAGGGGAGGAGGAGGAAAAGGAAAGGGAAGATGAAGAAGACACTGTTTTTGAAGAAAAAAAAGAAACTGAACACTCTTCGTAAGAAGGGAGGAAGAGAAATTGTTCATGGAGGGAGAGAACTTAATGAAAGAAGAGATAAAGAAGAAGACATTGCTCATGAGGAGGGAAATCAGAACAACCCTCTTCATGAAGAAGAGAGAAATATGAGGAACAGAGCACTGTTGATAAAGAGAGAAAACTAGAAAGGGGAAGAAAGAAGACCGATGGAAAAACAGAGAAATAGGACACTGTTCATTAAGAAGACACTGTTGATGAAGAAACAAAGAAGAAAGGAAGCACAAAGGAAAAATAAAGAAGGAATAAGGTTATTAGCAATATTCATACACCAACAGGGAAAAAAAAGCCACAAACTGAGCATAGAAAATTATTTGAAGCTACACCTCATAATACTAACCTGTTGGAGAGAGAGAGATATCAAACAGCCGCTCTACTGTCTCATTCCTGGTTCACTGCTTGATTGATGACGATGGATGGATCCTGAGGTCCGCAAATGATCAAGTTGATTCTTTGGCTAAGTTGGGAGCTTCAACAATGGAGTCAGTTAGGGCCATTTCATCCTCCTTGAATAGAGTTTTTGAGAATGGAATAAATGGGTGGACTCCATTCCTGTAGGTTGTTGGTATATGTTTGTTTTTCTTTCTCCTTTTGTTTTAGTGCTCACTTAGTCGCCCTTCTCCTTTATAGTTCATTTTCTATCCTCCAAAATCTATTTATTATCTACAAAAAAGAGATTGAAAGGTGTGAGATCAGACCCAAGGCCTTGATGTGTCAAGATACATAAGGTTTGGTTTGACCTAGAGGGGGTAAATAGGTCTTATGGATATTAATTTGTGAATAACTAACATTTTAAATTTCCATTAATGCTTTAATCAATTTTCTGTTTGATTAGTTATTGACTTGTGTCAAGTTGTCAACATCAATCACAAATGCATAAAGCATTAAATAAAATGAAACAGATACACAAGCTTTTTATGTTGAAACCTTAGAGAGGGGAAAACCATGGAGCCTAGTCTAGCCATGAACAATCTACTGTTACATACTAGGTTGAATCGACTTTACGTAAGAATTCTCAAGTTACCTTTGACCTAGAGTCACACCAAAATATGTTTTTACGATTTCTGCTGCTGCCAGTTAACAAACTTGATCTCCCACAAGCTTTCTCTCCATGGTTGTTCAATCCTTGATCTTCAAATTTGCGTGGTTGATGCTTTGTTTGATTGTCTTTGATATGCTCCTTGTGTAAAATCTCTAACAATCACATATATGGAGTGGTCTATGGTAATACTTATCAAAAAAAAAAAAAAGGAGTGGTCTATGGTAAACATTAGATTGAATCTCAAGGCTTCCTCTCTCTAAAAGATTTAAATTCTGTCACTAGATTGTAACTGCATATTCATAGTCAATATAAGAGTCCTATGTAAATAAAGGAAGAGTAATCCTTTGTAAATTTCTGTTTTAATAGAGTTTCCAAAAATATATATCGTCGATTGATCAATCAAGATCCACTGGCATTGTTTCGATTGAAGGGCACTATGATTGATAATACTTCGACCGATGACACTTCGATTGAGCACCAGTGTCCAAGTTTCCACGACTGAGAATTCGAATGAAGCTTGCTGGATTTCAGTAAATTTTTGTTAGATCAAGACTTTTTCTGTTTTGCGGAAATTATTTGGTTGAAAATTTAATTTATCTCTTTAAAAATTATGTGATCATGACCCTAATTTTGGAAAATGTGCTTACAACAAAATTTTGAGCCCCTTTTTAAAGATTATGCCTAGGTCATAAATGGTCTAAACATACCTTAACCTATGTATGTGGTTGAGCTTGAGAAATTTTCAGCGTATTTTCCTCTATTCTTGATCTCCATCATCTTCTTTCGGTTGCAGACAAACGACTCAAGACATTCAACACAATTCACAATCCAAGTTTCGACTCAATATCTTTACAGAGATTTAAATATTTGACCAGTTCATCTTTATCTATGGATATAATTTCTGCAGTTTTTTGTGAAAAAAGTTATTAAATATTCATTGTTTGAACTGCTTTTTATTATGTTTCCTGCAAAGAGCAGATTTCGAGCAAATTAATTATTGTGGTGGTGTTCTTTTACTTGAACTAAGGATCTTAAACGACAAACTAATGTTTCATTTTTTTTATTTCATAGCAATTATTGATTGCAGATAAAAAAAAAAAATGAGCATTGTTCTTAATATTTCTGTTTCTTGGGAAAGTGTAATTAATTATTAATGGCTATATGCATGATACATGCGCGAAAGAGCATGCGAGCGCATATACTTTAATATGGTGAGTTAATCTATAGGCATTCTATTGTCGAGTTCATGTGTAATATGAGTAACGTTTTCTAGATGTTGTACTCTGTTAAATTGTATCTATTATTTATTATTCATTGCAGTTATTGATTGCACTGGATTTAATCATGTGAACAAGGGCAGAAGAGTTCATCGTGCACGGTTTTCTTCTGTCACTGAGAAGGATCTTTTAAAGGCGATCAATAACCTTGTTGAACCCAATAGAGATGAGGCATTGGCTGTAGATGTTCGCCAAGAGATTGATTTGAAAGTTGGAGTTGCATTCACACGATTCCAGACTAGTTTTTTCCAAGGAAAATACGGGAATCTTGATTCCAGAGTTATCTCGTTGGTTCTCTCTTGTGGCTATGCTTTGTTTATAGTATCTTGTTGCCATTTACTTTGATGAGAACTTATGTTGTTTTTCTCTTTTGATCTAATATGAGCTATTATTTTATTATTTCATGCAAATTCCAAGTGTAGTGAAATATTTTAACTGGAACTTGGAATAGATGAAAGGTCGATAAAATTGCAAAGATGCACATTGTGTTTTTGAATTTTTTTTTGTTTATATGCCAAGAGTATCAGTGGAAAAATGATTTAATAATCAATGCAACACTTTGATCACAATAGTGCTAGTAGCCGACTTGAAGGCCAGTCACGGGTCATGGCTGTTACTCACCTTGGTTTAACTCTCCATCTGGGCTTAAAGGCATCCTATTGCCAGAAAAAAAGAAGAAACATTATGATGATCATCCATCAAAATATCTCTAGATGTTTCCTCCCTATTAGTTGTTACATTATTATATTTTGGGCCAATTTTTTTTGGCATGAAGAACATCTGGAGAAAGAAACCCTATAGGGGTGGCAGCCCCTGTTTGTTAATTGATTTTTTTTACTCCAAACATCATATTTTGCAAATGCTCTATCGTTTTGGAAACAATTATAAAATAACATCCCTTCTAATGTTATATTATTTCGTTTCAACCACGCCATTTCATAAATTTCAGTAGTAACCAAGCATTTTGGCATCTCTCTCTCTCTCATCCGTCTGTCTTGTTGGATGGAATCAATAAATTCTTCTTTGTTGCTTGTTTTCAGCTATGGGCCATGTCAAACTCCTACCCTTGGATTTTGTGTACAACGCTACCTGCAGATTACTACTTTTAAGCCAGAAAAGTTTTGGACTTTGCATCCTTACATATTTCAACATGGCTACGAACTTAAATTAGAATGGGAACGTAATAAGCTGTTTGACATAGATGTGAGGCCTTCTGAGCTTTAAATTTTTTGAAATTGTTCTTAGTTACGCCTTTGTTTGCACGCATATGTTGCTTAGACTTTTACTATTTCCAGGTTGCTAGGATGTTCCAAAATTTGATAATGGATGATGGAATTGTGGAAGTAACAGGCACATCAGAGAAACAGGATTCCAAAGCTCGACCTTCTGGTCTTAATACGGTGAACCTTCTGAAGGTCAGAACAATACTATTGCAATCTATAATAATCTAGCTAGCAATTTTCATCTTGTATTTTGGTTTGCTATTTCTCCTTTTCTTTTATTTGCATGTTTTCTTCTGTCAAGTGCAGTTATATGTTGGTCTTTGAAAGACTAGACAGTTATATTTCCAACTGATGTAGTTACAAGAAATGCTGTAGCTATACCCATGATTACCAAGATTGGAGTGCTAAGAACATGCTGTTTGTTTCTGTCAGCCATTAAATTAATTTTTGGTTTTTAATGACTATGCATTTATAGAAATAAATTCATACTATTGGAAAGATCACGATGTCTTGCCAAGAAGGGAATGTCAGAACTTGGGATAAAATGTTTTTGTCTCAGTGAAAAATTTTCAAACTCCTGCAAAAGCTTGTTTTTTCTAGCATGAAAGCTGTAAAAATTTGTGACTTCGAGTTTTACTGGTGAAAGTTGATTTTGGAAGTTGTATTTGAAAAACCATATACAGGCATAGTGGAGTTGTTGATATCAATTTTCTATGTATTGGTCATTTTTAAGCTTTTGACATGACATGGAATTCAGAGGGAAATCCTAGTTAAGGTGGTTATTATTTCTTAGGCATGTAAGAACTGTTTTTAGAGATGTGAGAGCTCAAAATATTAAAAAAATCGGCCGTCCCCATGGCAAAATTTTAAGTAATATGTTTATTTATTACAGTATTTGTTTAGCAACATACCATAGTTTAGCAAAATAAAAGTGTTCAGAGCTACCAACGGGCCAGTGGCCTAACGGTATCAGGCCCTTACCCTCTTGGATGGATGCAGTCTCTCTAGGATTTTCTGTTGCATACTGAATATGGAGTGTGGTAGCCTAAAAGAGGACTAGAGTCACCAACCTGGACACTTATATTATTTGGCTTAGGTGTAAGGTTCTAATCAAAGATTTTTCTTAACTAATTCAGGTTGCTTCCAGTGCATTGGGGTTTGGACCTCAAATGGCTATGCAACTGGCTGAACGCTTGTATACTCAAGGTTTCATCAGGTTTTCCTTGCTATATCTCCTGTTATCTAATCTTATGATGTTATACTTGCTACTTCTTTTCTCAATCTTCCAGATTGTAGTGGTGTATGAATTGCTACTTCAGTGTCTAGTAAATATTGTTTGTCTGCTGGTGAAGATTTCGATATGTTTCTTTTTGTGTACTACCCGTGCTTCTTCCGTTCTGACTGCTCTCCATTGAAGTTTCCAATTTGATTTAATGCATACAAGAGAATGCACTTTTAGTATTTTAGCCCAGATTCAAACCGGCATTCTCACGCTTGACTAGCTGAGCTTTACCACATCAGTTTGCAGTGGTCCCTCCTACCAGCACCCTTGATTGAATAGGTACTAAGACTGGCTGATGGGATTTTAATACTCCCTCCGTCCCAAAATTCATGTCCATCTTTCTATTTTGGGATGTCCCAAAATACATGTCCCATTCCAAAAATAGATATGACAGGGAAATGCATAGCCATGACATGCCACCAATCAAATGAGGCAAACAAATGAAGTAATAATTATAAAATTCCTATAAAAAAAGTACAATTGATATATATTTTTTCAGTTTTATGATTAATGTCTCAAACATAAAAAAAAATATTACAAATTTCTCTCTTTCCAAAATGTCCAAGTACCCCTGTCCAATATTTGGACACTTTTAATCCGAGTCCACGTATCCTGAAAATTGATAGATTGATGAATCCAACTCCTAAACACACACCCGTGTCCAACACCCGTACCCCGAGTCCGTGTTATGGGATATGTGTCGGACACTTATGGTTGGACAAATAATTTAATTTTATTATTTTATTGCTTCAAAATGAGTGAAATACTTGTATTAGACCCTATGTTATATAAAGCCATTATTTTACTCTAGGAAACAAAATGAAAATATTAAATAATATGAATATTTAACAGTGTCCATATGTCCTTCTATTTGAGGATTTCACACATTTGACGCGTGGATGCACACATGTACCTGACACTTGCACCCGAGTCCAGGTGACATAGTCTATTGTAGAGTGATGCCATTTATATTATTTATATATCTCAGTAAATATTTTACCTGTAGAAGAGAGAGGGATGTAGGAATTTTGTTTTGAAGCTCATGTACATAATCACTCAATGAATTTCAAATTTCAAATAAGATTTATTATTCTTTTTGGGTGTTGAACTTGGTGCAATGGTAAAAACTTGGGCTGACAAGAATGTGAACAAGAATTCGAGCTTGAGAGAGTAACTGATGTTAGGGCTGTCTTCCAGCATAGGTGGGATCAACATTTGGTAATGGCCTTCTGCTGTGCCAGATTCAGATTGGCTGAATCCCATTGTTGTTGTGTCGTAGTATTTTAAGTGATCCTATTTAGCTCAATTTGTAACTTGGATAGGGAACCTGTGAAATGAAATGTCTTCATGTTCATATGATGTTGTAGAATCAATATTACATGGATTCAGATACGTCTGCCTGGTTCTGGAATGTGTGTCTGCTGACTCAGCTTTGGATTTGGCAAATTTCCAACCTGAGGACACAAGGACATGGCTAAATATTCTTCTATTCTTTAATATTCTTCTTCTTCATTTTTTACCCTTACAGTAAGATGAGATTTTTATTTGATACGGTGTTCAAAATAAACACTTCCATCACTTTAAAATAATAATTTAACGAAGGAAACATTATAAGAGAGTTTAATGCACAATACATTATAAATTTATAAATGGTGAATATGCTTGTTAGGTGCCATATCTAACCAGATATGTCAGGCACATATTTAATGCTTATGTCAAACATATATGGTTAACTAATATTAAACATGGTTTTGTTAGTAAATGGATAATTCGTGCACTTTAAGCGTGTATTTAATCTGTCTTATCATGTTTTATTATATGAAGAAGAATTCTATTGAAGCTATATAAACCTTAACCCCATCTTATAACATCATATACCCAATGATCCACCTTCCGAGTAACATCATCTCGCCATGCAATATGCTTCATCCATCTGAATGAATTTTGTGTTCTTCAGAAAAAGATAATGAATTTACTCGTATATAGGTATCACAAATAATGTAATAATTTTGATTATATTTTTTGATCTCCAGAGCAAAAAAAAAAAAAAAAAAGTCCCTTTTAATTTTGATATTGGTTTTTGAGGATGTCTGATGTATCGAAACAAGAGTATAATTATTTTTTATGTTCATTTTTCTACGTAAGCAGGTAAACTATTATTGGAATTGTTGGCAAACTGGCATCGATGCTATCTTTTCCATTTAATCGCATATTATATTGATTTTGATCAGGAATTTAACAATATTATAAATTGTGGTAGGTGCAATTGAGATCGTATGTTATTTTGATTCTGCACCAAATATTGATTAGTAAAGTAAATTTTGTGGTTTCTAGAAAGAAATTCTTCCTTTTTATTTCAAGCCCAGCTTTGTGACAAGATGTGCAGCACAGCAGTGAATATATATATATATATATATATATTTAACAATGAGGAACCATTCCAACAAGTTGCCCTTTTGACACATGGTTATAACATAAATTCCAGATATCTGCAATCACCCGCATACCACTGATATTGCTTTATCTAGGACTTGAACTTGAGACCTTCAGGTAGTAACCCTGAGATCTTGCCATCCGAGTTACCTTGACAGATTGGAAAGATGTGTATTTTAGCATTTTTGGATCCTTTTGCACTGACAAAGCCTTGCCTTGAGTAGTATGCCCTCCACCTCCCTAAAGGGGAGGTTGAGTTCAAGCCCCAGCAGGGGCATGTGTGTGAGAGTGTGACTAAGCTTACCCATTCTCAACCAAAAAATATATTTTTATATAGAAAAAAAATGATTCCTTTCTCTTGTTTCTTTTTGGTCTTGTGAAATCTACTAATTGAATTTCTTTTTCTTCTTCTTATATGTTTTCCCTCGTGGTTTTCTTTTAGCTATCCACGTACAGAGAGCACGGCATACCCTTCTTCGTTTGACTTCAGAGGCACACTTGAAGCCTTAGTAAATAATCCAGCATGGGGTAGTTACGTACAGACACTGCTAGCTGATGGTTATCTAAAGCCACGGTCAGGAACAGATGCAGGTGATCACCCTCCCATAACTCCAATGCGTTCAGCTACTGAGGATATGCTAGGTAGTGATGCTTGGAGACTCTATCAGTATGTTGGTCAACATTTTCTAGGGACTGTGTCTCCTGACTGCAAATATGTAAGGTAAAACCTCTATTATTTCTCCTTATGTCTAAGATTTCCTCTTAGTTCATTTGAACGGTATATTTCTTGAAAAAATAGCCGCGTCTGAGCCTTATTGAAATGCTAAACATGTACACTAAACATATAAATATATATATGTGTGTGTTTGTAGTTTGACTGATGTTGCAGTTGTGAATTAAGGCGGCAGTAGCCTTCCCCCAACTCATAACCCCCCTTCCAGACGGGGGTGAAAGTAGAATCAATCCCACTTTTCTGGTAGGACTCTCTAAGATGTTACTAGTTAGGCTTGCTGACACCTTTATTTCCTAGATGACATGTGATTGCATTAGTTTATTATTATTATTATTATTTATTTTGGAAACTCGGTATTTTTTTTTGGGTCAAACACGGTACCCTGTTTGTCAAACTGATGTGAAGCAGTTGGGGTTGAATCTGGTTGTGTTCAGGTCTATGAAGAGGGTGGGGGATGCTGGTTTAGTTTAGGTGAGGTGAGATGCCAAGGATCTCTGGTTTGAATGGAGAATGGGAATAAGTCTGCAACTGGTCATGGTTTGGGACGGTATGGTGGGAAGGTTTCCCTGTGAGGGCAGGTAGGGTTGAGGGTAACCCATACTTAGTTTCATGGTGTGTTGGTGTCCTTTTCTGTATTAGATTCTTTAGTCTTTTAGAGCCGACTAGCAAGAATTTGTTGGGAGCGAGGTTAGAGTTATCTTATGGAGCGCTTGGAATTGGAGTTATTCTCAGTACCCTAAAACTTCAAAATCTCTAAGATAATGGAGCTGTACTAGGAAAATCTTCACAATATGCGGAAATTTTCCTCCATGTTGACAGTTTTTACAAATATGGATAGGAAGAGGTATCTATTTCTCTCCTGAAAGAATAGAAAATTAAAGGACTGAAACCAAAAACAGTACAGATATACCTGATTTTTTCTGAGACATAGCAGATGCAAAAGAACTAGAAGAACAGGAGGTCGGAAAAGCTTATCGTGACATAGAGTTGAGTTAAATTGTTAATTTAGTTGTAGCTAGTGTTAAAATGTCTACTAGCTGATTTTTTTATAGTTGATGGCCACAATGTCATGAGGCTTTCACCATTGCGGAGCCTGGGGAGGATCAGATGTACACAACCTTACCTCAGCATGGGAGGCTATTTCCTGTTTCGTACTCTTGACCTCTAGGTCACAATGGATCAACCTTACCGTTATGACAAGGCCTGTACCCTATAATGTTATACTTGATAATAATAATAATTCAATATTTACATGAGAAAATTAGTTTTAGATTCTTTTGTACGTTCTTTTTCTAATAAATAATTGCTTGACATTATCGGATGACTTACTCAAATTTCCCTATACTCCTGCATTCCATCATGTGTCTTGTATGGATAAATGTGTGGGCCTGAACTTACATAATTTGTCAAAGATTTAATTTATATTCACTGGTAGTTTAAACCTTCTGTTTCCAAGCTTTTCCATGAATTCCACAAATTTGTTGTATTCAGTAAGTTGCCTAAATGTTTCCTTTTCTAACTGACTGAAATGGTGAAACTAATTTGATTCTTACATTCATTTTGTTTAGGCTCTTTAGTGTGAGAATCTCTGTTGTATTCTATGCTTGGTTGTTGGGTTCTTTCTGACAAACAGAACAATGTATCTGTTCAATTTATGAAAAAGAGACAGCCTACGTACCAAGTGGAAGGAAATTTATTATAATACCAACCATGAGTGTATCATTAAATGCTGAGCATATATGAAGACATGGTCTCCCTGGATCCCATTGAACTGTCTGAAAGAGTGAGAGGAGTGACAAATAAAACCGTGTATAATTTGGACTACAAATTCTAGGTTTGATTGAACAAAGAATTCTTCCCTTGAGTAGCCATAGCAAAAGGAATATGGGATTTTAGTAATAATGCCTGTATTAGCTGTGTCCTGCGACCAATTGATTTTATTTTATGTTTGTTGCCGTTCAATGCACAAGCATGATTTTATTACAACTCATTCAATTTTTTTTTTATAGCTGCCACGATTTCAATTTGATCAAAGCACTGACATTATTTGTTGCGTAGATCACTCATTGTATTAGGGAATTCTAGTACCTGATTCAGTTTGATAAGTATTGTTAACGATTCCTACCTACTATGGTTAAGATAAAAAGAACATTTTTGAATTACTCTTTATTAAGTTCCATAAAATTAATTCATGACTGACATGTACTATTTGATGCCAACTCCAGGACGAAGGTTGAATTTTCAGTTGGTGGAGAAATTTTCCATTGTGTGGGGCAGCATGTTACAGTAAAGGGATATACATCAATCATGCCATGGTTGGCAGTAAATGAGAAAATGCTTCCTCAGTTCACAAAAGGGGAGAAAATAGAAACTTCAAAAGTTGAGCTTTATGAGGTATTGTATCAAACCCATGAATTTTATTTTTGGCTTTTCTGCAACTTCTGTTATAATGGTTTCTAGAATTTTATTTGAGGAATTTCAAGGTTTCATAATTTTCATTGTTTTTAGATTTTAGTGATTCATGTTTCATTTGGTCATTAAAAAAGGAAAAAGCGACATAGACAATGGCGTGTCATGTCACGAGACAATTTCATGAATAAGAACTATCCTTTATTAGCATCTCCTACTTGATAGGCCTGTGGTGCGGTACTGTGAGTTAATTAGATGGCATACCCTTAACATCCCCATAGTATATAAGAATTGAATAGCCTGAAAGCTGGATTGAGAGAGACGAGTATAAAATAGAAATCGCCATTCTTGGTTTCAGTAGAAAAAGTTCTTTGGGGAGAGATTATTCCATTCCAACAAGATTTTATTTATTTATTTTACCCTATTTTTATAGACACTCTTCATATATATATGTGTGTGTGTGTTATATGATAATTCACATACTATATATTTATACTGTATTATGTTATATAATATTTCCTGAACTGTGTTATTATTTTATTTTGACGTATTTCTGTGATGTTTTTATTGTAAATATATATTAAATAGAAATTTCATGTGGACATCATTGGATACGGATGATGATGATGATTATTTTTACTTATCTTTTTTGTGGCTAATTCCTGTGGAAATGTAATGGCCTTTCCTCCAAGTGAGCAAAGGACTTGACTAATCTCACATTTGAGGGAATAGCAGTTCTTGCCATTTGCTTAAACCAAACAATTAAATGGAATGGAGTCAGGAATGGCCAGCCAATCACATTGCATTGTTATGCAGCCATGGGGATGGCTACTGCTACCACTTTGGTGTTCAAAAAGGGGAAAAAAAAAAAAGGGGGTTGTGCTGTATAAATGTTTAGTGGATATCTTTGCAAGTAGATAACTTAGTTCTTGAAATGTTCAGGGAAACACCATGCCCCCAGATTATCTCAGTGAAAGTGAGCTGATTTCTCTAATGGAGAAGAATGGAATAGGCACAGATGCATCAATTTCTGTACATATAAACAACATATGTGAGCGCAACTATGTGCAGGTTTGTGATAATCTAATTTCTTTTTGTGGCATTTTGTCCACTTATTACACGTTGTTTGATTTTACAATTCAGTACTTAAATCTATTAAATGTGATTAATGAAAACAATATGAATACTATTTGAAAGTATAAGTTTCTCTTCAAATAGAGTAAAATTTCATGTGAGTGAGACTTTAACACTTACAATTCAAAATTTTATCAAAAGAAATTCTCAATGTATGATTAACACTAAAAATTTTAGTTTTTAACTTTCAAGTCTTAGAATTTTCAGTTTTAATCGTAGCACCTTTTAGTGTTCTGCAGAATCTCTATAAGAGTGCTGTTCATTATACGGGTTTTGACCATGCCTTTAAACTGCAGGTACAGGCTGGAAGAAGGTTGGTTCCAACTGCTTTAGGCATTAGCCTTATAAGAGGTTATCAATGTATTGATCCAGATCTTTGTTTGCCTGATATTCGGAGTTTCATTGAGCAACAGATCACTCTTGTTGCCAAGGGGCAAGCAGATCATTCTTATGTTTTACAACATGTACTAGATCAATTCAAGCGGAAGTTCATTTACTTTGTTAAGCAGGTGATAATACCTGATCACTTTTCGTATATTAACTTGTTCCTTAAGCTTGCTTTTATTTTAATTTTTTGGGAAAAAGTAGGACTTGAAACTTTTATCTTATTTGCACATTAGGTAATTAGGTGTTAGTTCTCTTGGTCAATCGTTAAGATTAGAACTCAGTGTTGCCAAATTTTGTGACAAAAGTTGGAATCTTTATCTTCTTTTTTTTTTTTTTATTAATTTTCAAAATTCAGCTTCATTGAGTTAGTGGTGGTTCAAGGACAGCAGAATCAGAGAATTTGAAGGCACATCAAAAGGCAAAAAAGTGAAATCACCTCTTGAATAACAATTTCACCAATTCAGTTCCTAATCATGTGGTCTTATCATGATTCATTTTAGGGCACAATACTTACATGTTTTGATTGATGAAATGATGTCATGAATGCATGAACTTGTTTTAGAATAAATATATTTTTAACAGAATTTTTTTACAATAATAGAATGGCTCAATTGATGTGCCGATTGATTGACAATCTCCATAAAAGGTTTATCACAGTCCAGAATGCTTCCATTGAAGCCTTAATTGGTCTAATAAGCAGTGCCAGTAGATACCGATTGATGGCTCGATCAATATACTTGTGCATGAACAGATTTGGATACTACTTTGAATCAAAATTTTAAGAAGGTTTAGGACACTTTTTTATTTTATTTTTTAGGGTAAAGTGCATTAAACTCCCGTGAACTATTGGTCATTTGCAAGAAACCCCCCTGAACTACAAAAAACCCCCCTGAACTATGATTTTGTTGCAATTTACCCCCTTGAACTATTGGTCATTTGCAAGAAACCTCCCTGAACTACAAAAAACCCCCCTGAACTATGATTTTGTTGCAATTTACCCCCTGAACTATGATTTTGTTGCAATTTACCCCCATGACATCAGTTTCCGGTACCGAAAATTTTGAAAGACCAGTTTACCCTTATAACACGTACACTGCGTCGTTTTAACTTATACACTTCTTACTTTTTTTTCTGCCAAAAGATGCCTTTCACCCAACACAACCCAAAACTGAGAGCTACAGAGAGAGAGAAGAGACCAAAGAAATCCGAGGTCGGCGGGATGGCTCGGTCTCGGATGATGGCGGCTTGTGCGCGGAGGACTCGGCTGTGATGAGAGCTCGGTTGACTCGACCGTGAACTGTGGAGGCGGCGGCGGCGAGCTCAAGGGGGATCGGTGGTGAATTGTGGACAGCTGTGTGCTCAAAACACGGACGGCGATGTGCTCGGCTATGGAGATGGTGGAATGGGCCGGCGAGATTGGAATGGACGGTGGAATGGACCGGTGAGCAAGGTGAGCTGAACGGCGAGCAAGGCGGTGACGGCGATGGGCTGACGCAATGGTGCAGAGAAGTGCGATATATTTGGCCGACGGATCTGGCGAGTGGTGCAGCGGCTATGATGGAGCTATGACAGGAGACCCACCGATCCTAGCAACAAATTCTTCGGCTTCATCGTCCCTTTCAGTTAATCAATTCGCGTGGATGGGGTAAATTGCAAAAAAATATATAGTTCATGGGGGTTTTTTGCAACTTTTATAGTTCAGGGGGGTTTCTTGCACATACCCCAATAGTTCAGGGGTTTTTTTTGCAATTTTTATAGTTCAGGGGGGTTTCTTGCACATACCCCAATAGTTCAGGGGGGTTTAATGCACTTTACCCTATTTTTTATTTTAACTAAGAAGCCCTAATTTCTTTGTACTTAGAAGCACTATATAAGCACCACTTATAGGCTCTCATAATACACATACATATCTACAAAGATCTCTACACACATTATTGAGAGCATATAGAGAGATAATATAGTTTTTTTTTTTTATTTTTAGTTAGAGCATATTTTTTCTTTTTATCATTGAGTTATTATTCAACGCGTAATTAGCTTGTGGGACTTAAATTGTCATCAACACCAAATCACACAAACAAAAGACAACCCGACGTCATTGGAGATCAAAAGTTCATGAAGAAGCAAATTGCACGAGGAACTAATTTGTGTATTGATCACCAGTTGGAGGATCTGGGTTGATGTGCAAGGCTGGTCAGGAAGGACTAAGGGATTCTTGGGTTAGAGTCTAGTAACTTAGTGTGTAACCTCTTTCTCAGATAGTGAATTTTGATCCGCCTGAACTAGGTCCCATTGTTTTTTCTGTTGGGGGTTTTCACATTAAAATCGTGTATTCTTGCGTGATTGCTTGCTTACCTATTACTGCTCTCTATATTTTAACTAATTCATTCTAAATAGAATGTGGTGGAAGGATGAAACTATTCTTTCATCATTTCTCTCTTTTCCCCATCTCTCTCTTTTTCTCTTCTGCTCTACCTTCTCTTCTTCATTTTCTTCTACTTTACTCTTGTTTTGATTATATCTTAAAGTCAACAATTGTTAGAAATTGAAAATTAGTTATTGTTAATTAAAATTTGAAAAGATATATTCCCCTCCCTCTAGATCTATTTAGGGCCTTGCACATATATTTGATGAATCTATGTGTTCTAAATCTGAATTGTCACTCACCCTGTTGGATCTGACAGTAGTTCTGTTAGTTCAAAATCTAAAAACTTGTGACATATTAATACTAATTGTGACAATGCTACTGTGACACTGATTCAGAACTTGATGAGTTGAGATTAAAAAAATTAGTGATTTTCTTAAAGAGAAAAAGAAAGAAAGAAAGTAAAGAGCAAAATTGAAAATAATAGAAAAGGTTAAAGATCAAGATAGATTAGAGGTTGAAAAGCTTACAAGCATAGAGCAGGGTTGTGATGTCTTCAAGTTAGACACAGAAAAACTTAAATGAAATTGTTTCATACTTAAATTAGAAAATGCTCAAACTTGGCTTTGTTTTCTTATTTCATATATAGTCATGATAGCTTTAATTCATGTGTGTCCACCCTGTCATTGCAGCTGTCATCATACTGTAAGTATGAGGGCATGTCATTTGAAGGACTTGTGAAATGGAAAGGCAAGAGTTTTTGTTTATTGTTTGTAAGATCATTTGGTTGCAGGTGACAATTGGTTCAATCCTGCCGGCTCATGGATTTGCAGTCTTTTGGGGGTTCACAAATAATAAAAATAATAATAAATAAAATGGAAAAGTGTGTAATTTCTTGCACTGCACTATATTCCTTCCACGTATGCTCCAGACTAAATTGATATTGTTATTTGTGTTTATCATCACATCTAGACTAAGATATGCACAAAATGAAGCTTTCTTTCACTTATCGATCTGCTTTCTTCGGTGCAGATTGATAACATGGATGCATTGTTTGAGGCACAATTTTCTCCACTTTCAGATTCTGGACGTTTGCTTAGTAAATGCGGCAAATGCCTGCGGTACATGAAATACATCTCTATGCAGCCCTCACGGTTGTATTGTGGTACATGTGAGGAAGTTTATTACGTTCCTCAGAAGGGCACAATCAAGGTAATGTAAACCAACAATGCATGTCAGCTTTTATTCTTTTACAAGATTATATTGGTATCTTGCTTATAATATCATGGCATGAATTGGTACCGAAGTCAAAATGTACATCATGCACTTTGAATGTGCATTGCAGCATAATCTTCAGCATGCTTATACTGTCTTATCCTGTTTATTGTGACGAATATCTAGAATTTAAAGCATGTTTAATTGTTATGCCATAGTTTTTGCTTGTACTGATGTTTTAGTCAAACCTAGTAGTTGAATAAAATGCAGTGGTGTGAGATTTCTCTTCTGCATCGCATCATTCTTGTGCTCTCATCTCTTGCTTGTATCCCTATAACCTTGACCCTAGACATATCTTGATGAGAACAACTGCAAGAGCATATTGATTTTGATTTTGATTTATTAGGATCTTTTCTTTAAGCTGAAGCTAACCATTCTCTCTCTGGTGACATGAGCCATTGAAAGAAGGTTCAATGCAATTTTGATCTATTTTCTCTTCAAGACAAAGAAACTTGTATTGGCTGTTCGGTTGAATCTTGGAAGTTACAGATGTTTTTACTTCATTACTCTCATCCCTCCCTCCCCCATACCTGGCACTCTTTGTCCCTGTGGGGTTTGCATTTTCTATTTCAGACCCAAATGGTGCTCTCTACCAAAATACCATGAGTCTCCTCATGCAACAATACATCTGGACCTATTTCAGTAATTTTTCTTACTCTTTCTGTGACTTTATTCCCAAAAGATTATGAAGTCTGTATACTTGTAAACTGAGCTTTTATATTGTTATATAAGTTTTTTCATTCTTAGAGTGTTTATATTGTTTGGTAAGTTAGACATAGATTCTTTTAATAGGTCTTTATTATATGTAGTCAGATATGGGGGATGCTGTAGCTTTGAGATGTCATTTTAATCGAGATAGCCTTCTTTTTTCTGACACATATTAGTGCCTATTGTACTGGACTTAGTTGTTAGTTATGTTTGGTTGCCCTGTATTTTAGTTATGGTGTGTGTGCTTATATCATACAAATGATTGTGTTGGAAATTTTTAAGTGAAAAGTCTACCCCAAATAGCTGGGATAAGGGTTTTGTTTTTTTAAACTTGAGTAATAAATTTTAAGTAAAACAATCAGCTGGACTTTAATGATTTTTTCTAGAATATTTTTCTTCCTCTGTTTTCCAATGCAAACGAAGTCAAGGTTTTTTTGCACAAAAATGCTGATGCAACCGTATCAATTAAAATTTTGCTCTTATTCAGTCTTAAAGAGATGCTAAGATATAATATGATACAAGATCCAAGTAATTCTTGGGTAAACGTACATGTTCAGCAATCTGGTTTGCATGTGTTGAAAATCTATTGTCACGAACAAACACATGGAATCTATGCACTAACTAATCTAGTATAAGGGTAGCCTGTATCTACTATCATTTCAAGTTATGCCTGAAATTTATGGGGTTTTCTTGGTCTTCACAGGGTTTAAGGTTTGAAAAGTTGTTGCCATGAACCAAATTTAGTAGTATGAATGTTAAACTGAGCAAAAAAGAAAAAGAAAAGGGATTGTTAGATTTTGCTATTCTTCTCATTGAGTGATATTTAATTTTTATGGTGAATAAATGTTACTTTTGTTACCTGAAAAGAGAGTTAGTTTGAAGTTATTTGTACAAAGTGCATCAGTCTTCACTACTTGCATAGCGATGTGCTCTCATTTTCCCATTTAAGAAGTTGTTTGGCTTTGGTGCCAAATAACCCATGACTGTTGCTCTTGTTTTTAAGAATGATAACCGAGTTTATCCTCTTGCAGCTGTACAAGGAACTGACTTGCCCCTTGGACAACTTTGAGCTGTTGATCTTCTCCTTGGCTGGCCCAGAAGGCAAGTCGTTTCCTCTCTGCCCTTACTGCTATAATAGTCCTCCATTTGAAGGTATAGACACACTCTTCGGTGCTAACAAGACCACCAGTTCTGGCAAGTTGGGAAAGGGAGCTGGCATGCCATGCTTCCTCTGTCCACACCCCACATGCCGGCATTCTCTGATAGCCCAAGGAGTTTGCGCCTGCCCAGAATGCAACGGGACACTTGTCCTTGACCCTGTCAGTGCTCCCAAATGGAGGCTTTATTGCAACATGTGCAACTGCCTTGTTTTCCTTCCTCAAGGTGCTCACAAGATTTCGACAACTAAAGAACGGTGTCCAGAATGTGATTCTACCATAATAGAAGTGGACTTCAACAAGAAAACTACTCCTTTGAAGGATGGAGCTACGTTGCATGTTGGATGCGTTCTTTGCGATGATCTGCTACATTCACTTGTAGAGATGAAGCATGGAAAATCGTTTTTCAAACGCATGGGAGGCAGAGGGAGGGGAAGGGGAAGAGGAAGGGGACGAGGTGGCAGGAAATTGGAAGACCCGAAAATGAGTTTCCGAGATTTTTGAAATGTAAAATTTTTACTCCTATACATTTGGCTTTTCAAGATGTGGAACTTGCCATTCTGCCTACTTTGAATGACTTTATTTGCCATTTTTTTGGAACTGGGTGGGTGAGCTCTTGTTAATCAATTTTAACAAAAGATATGTGAATTTTCAAAGGGAAAATTATCAATTAGTCATACTTTTTACAATCCGAAGACGAAGAAAATTATCAATTAGTCATAATCGATTAGTGCCTAGAAGATTGATTTGAGTTCGACCACGCACTATTACATTGTAATCTCACGTGGATTTTCCAAATTAAAATTTCACTTCTTTGTGTTTACCCTTACTTTTATATTTGTTATTATAACAGTGTGTCATGACCTGGCAAACCACTTTTTATGGTACCATCTCGGACCGCCTTTCCTGAACCATAACCGGGGGAGGGTGATCGGAAAAGGGGATCCAAATGTCCCATCAATAAAGTGAGGGACTCCCTATCAGATGAAAACCTCGAAAGTTGTTTTGCACCACATGTGGATAAAGTTTGTAGGTGAAAAATATATCTAGTTATCTAGGTACAAAAATATATCTAGTTATCTAGGTACACTCTCTCTCAAACAAACATATCTAGTTTCCATCTCTTAAACTTCTCACTTTTACCAGGTGTTTGGGATATGCCATTATAAATTTTACTCCTACTTATATATATAGACATCCTTTCACATTAATATTTAGTTTTCCAGATCACTCCACCTAAATATATAAATATATACAAAATCTGAATGCTTCTAGAATCTGATTTATCAAATTCGACTCGGTCTTCAATATTTTAGAATCCTCATCCTTGCAATACTCCATACTTAACTTATTATTTAGTCTTTTATATTATTGAAATGAATGATAAAACTATATATGTATATATATATACACACACACGTATATATATTAAAATGAATAGTATATGTTGATTCAAATTTTTAAACAAAAAATATATATTATATTTGAACATATACATCTTTTACTTTTGGCTTGTATTATATTATTTTTCTTCTATATATACAGTGTCAAATTTGATTTATTTTATTCTTAAATATATTATTATTTATTAATGTAATACAATTATCGTTACTAACCTTTTTAATTAATATCGTGACTGAAATGTATTGGACAATTGCAATTTTCACAACAATCTATCCGATCTGTTCTTGAAATCTATGAATTAAAATCATTGGTGGATGTTTTTCATATATATATATATATATATATATATATATTTCTTAGAGCATGTGTATCGATCTCACAACATACGCATCATTCAAATTAAGAGTGCGATTCAAAAGCGAGACTTAAAAAACTTACTTCCTAGATCCCTGTCAACTCTGCTATGCCCTTGGGGATGAAGCTTTTCATGTTTGGTCACACAAAAGATATAGGGACATAATTTTAGCTGATTTTGTTACTCTCTGGTTCAGTTAAAAAATTTACATGGTTTTGTACATTTGATTAGAATAGCAATCAATGGACAATAATATTTTTAATCATATGTATTTTATGTGTTTTTCACTAATATTTTAAAAAGTACATGCATTGTTTGTGTTTTTTATTAATGTTTTAAAAAGGCATACTTAGTTTGTCATTCTAAGAGCAGTTTTTTTATTTTTATACCATAAAAAAACACACCGTTTAATTCGGTTTACACATATTTCTATTTTAAGTTCTTAATAATTGTTATTTTTAGAATTACAAACCAAACAAGCCCAAAGTATTGTGCAAGTTAACCATTGCCGCATTAGGATAAACCCCCTTCATTACATTTGGGGGACAACACCATGTCAGCAAATGTTCGATGCTGAGTACATTATAGGCTTATAGCTACCTTTGAAAGAAAATACTAGACAAGGAACACCAAAAAGGGTGATTTCACTAAATAATGGGCATTCACAAGCTTTCACTATATCAGTTTATTATACATAAGTTTATTACACAACACAAAAAATTTGATCTCTAACTAAAAAGACTCGAATAATCTTATTTGGCGAGTAAAAGACCATAGCAACCACTTGTAAAATTAGTAGAAAAACACTCACCTTGAACAACATGAATAACTGCTCCAACTTTGCTTCGACTTGTCAGCCCCATTGTTCACTAGGCTTACCCTATTGACAGACAATTCAGCTTTGTATGAATCGGAATTCAAGACTTTCCGGCTCACGTTGTTATAGATCTCCTGAATAACGATCTCGAAAGCCTTTTTAACATTTGTAGAATCCAGGGCAGATGTCTCCATAAAGAACAATCCTTCTGCTTCTGCAAGGTTCTTGCCTTCTTCTATACTCACATCCCTGATGTTCTCCAAATCACATTTGTTCCCCACCAACATCCGTGCCACGGTTGTGTCGGAATGAGCTGCAGTATTGTTCATCATAGCTTTAAATCTCTCCAAACAAAGAAAATACAATAATGATCATGTTAAATTCATATCAGAGTATCTCTAATGGAAACAATATAGTCACAATAAGGACATAATGCTTAAGGATATATCATATTATACATCTCTCATTCTCTCTTCTTTAAAGAAAAACTTACAAACGAAGTCCACTCATGCCTCAACCCGGACCCTGAACAAACTCGTCATATGATCTCAAAATTTGGTTGTAATCGCTGAATTTAGCAGAAAACACAGAATACAACACACTGTACATACATAACACGGGCTACATGTATAATCTTGCAAATTCCATAAGAAAAGGAGCATTTTAAATAATCATTAGAAACAAAAGACTGCAAATGAATTAGGTTTAACATATGGCAAAACTTCCATCCATTTCCCGAAATCTACTAAGGGAGTCAATTAAGATCCCATACAGAAAAACCAGATCAATTCGAAAGAAATAGAATCAAAAAATAATTCCGAAAACTTGGTTCATTATGTAAAGTTCAAACACATTGTAGAAGATCTGGCCAACCTTGTTCTCTGTGATAAATGCTAACGAAAGCTTTACCGGATCATCGACGCAAGAATGGCTCACAGAAGAAGATTTGCTTTGAGAAGCGGTTCCAATAGGGATGGAGATGGGGGAAGATGACTCAAATGCGACTGTCTCTTTATCTGATGCGCGGGTTTTAGACCAGGTTTCGCTCAAAGTAAGCACGGTTTCAAGGTAACTGTCAAGTCAATTCTGACCTTTTTTGCAGGAAAAGGTTTCCAATTCTTCCCGTTTTCGGAAAAATCAGTTCACATGAATTTTATAATGCCTATAAATGATCTTTCGGAAAATGTACTCCAAGCAATGGGTACATTCCAATTCCATACGTGGGATTGGCATCCACTACTTATATGGAGAATATTGTAGATTGATCTATATTAAGATCCCATCTTTATTACATTGTACAACTTTATATACTATACATAAATATTTTAATAAATCAACTTTTTTCCAATAGTGATCTCTATAATTCATTAGTTCATTGAAATCCAGAGTTGGACCAGGGTCAAAAGTTGCATTTAATTAAGCTTAAAAGTGGTCTCGATAATTCATCCAAAAGTGCTTTTTTCTCCAAAGCACATTCAAAAAGAAAGAGAAAAAGAAGAGGTAATTATAGCTTAAATCTTTTTTGCCTTAATTATTATTTAATAAATAAATAAATTTCCAATTCTAATGTTCTAAAAACAAATGTAGATCTACCTACCAGAAATCATTAAATTCATCCCTATCAATCAATCAAACAACAGACCAGAGCATTAAAAATACCCAATCAGATCCAAAATTCAAAGGCCAAAGTAATCAAATAATGCCGAATCCCATAAAGTTATACAGAATCAATTTAAAGCTCTTATATATATATATATATATATATTGCAGAATCGAATATGTCTATATTATGAAAGAACACATAGCAAATTTAGTTCAATCTTAAATTGTACTAATTCATTCTTTTCAAACCTAAGCAAGCAATTCATTGACCTATTTGCCTTGATTTTTCTCATTTCAACGAGTAAAAGCAACACAAACATGGAATTAAAATCTGGACTTTCATTCTATTTTCCTGCATTTCCTCAGCAACCAAACAGTAAAAAAAAAATTAGTAGTAGTAAAATGGAGTAGTTAATTAAGAGTAAAAATGGTTACTGTTGAGCTCATCAAGCCAGCGGGAGACGCTATCGAAGGTGGTGCGACGGCTGATGTCGTAGACAATGAGCGCACCGACGGCGCCGCGGTAGTAGGCGGAGGTGACGGCGCGGAAGCGTTCTTGTCCGGCGGTGTCCCAAATCTGGGCCTTGACCTCCTTGCCGTCGATGTCCATGCTCTGCGTCTGAAATTCAACTCCGATCGTGGCCTTGGAGTGCATGTTGAACTCGTTCCGAGCGTACCGTGACAACAGATTCGACTTTCCCACTGCTGAATCTCCGATTATCACCACCTTGAAAAGGTACTCCTCTCCTTCTTCATCCGAATCCATATATATATATATATATGTATAGATATATAGAGAGAAAAAGACTTTCTTTCTGATGATCGAATCTCCAGATTCAGCAAGTTTAGTAACGCAAAAGGTACAGACACAGAGCAGAAGAGGAGGAGGAGAAGAAAGAGGGGGTTAGGCAAGTGCGTTATTAATGTGTGTGGAACCGAGAGTTGCTAAATAGTGTCAGAGATGTCATATGTGCAAACATCACGCGCTGTGTGTTACACGCGCTATAAATTACTAATTCATTTATGTAATTTGAAGTTATATTTTGGCAAAATAGTTAAAATGAAACCATTTAGATTTTATTTTTTTAAAAAAAAAGTTGACTAGTGTAAACTAGTAATTTTTTTAAAGTCAATTTAAGTAGGTTAAACTGACATTAACCTATTGTTAGTTGAAATTTTGTTTAAAACTGAATTTGAATTACTATTATTTAGAAATCGAATCATTTCTTATGCATTAATGGTCCAATGCACAGACGAAAAAAAAAAAAAAATTGTAAATCGTGTTAAATTTTTTTGTCCATTCCACTATATGTTATGATATTATCCGCTTTACACCTGAACTCGTACAATTTTATTATTATACTTTACCTCAAAAGGCCACTAAATTTACCTCTCTTTTTTCTCTTTCTTTTTTAAAAAACTTATCTTCATTTAAATGGTCCAAATTTTATAAAAAAATAAATAAAATGAATATGAGCTTACAGGTAGAGGAGAGGGTGAAAGTTGTAGATATGAGAGTGGGTGATTACAGGTGGAAATGATGTGACGCGTCACAACCCAAACACGGTTAGACCATGTTGGTTGTGTTTTATTGTGAATATATATATAAATTTGACGGCAACAGAAACCACAATTACTTGATTTGGGTCCCCCACACGAGTAATAGTGGTGACCATATCAACCATCTGACACCCCAGCACGATTCAATCAATGTGTCAGCTCATCATAACATGCCATGCAGGTCTTTGCAATACTCATTTCACACAGAGTCACACACACACATATTGCTGGTTTGTTTGGGTGGTGGCCAAATCTGCAAACCTAATTTTCTAAATTTGATGCAAAGCCAAGTCCAACCAGAATCTACCTGTATTTTTGTATCTATTCTCAATCAAAAAAAAGCCCCTTACCCAATTTGGAACAACCTCACATTGTCCAAGCCTTCTCAATAACCCATAGCCATCCACCATTTTGGCTTGTTTATAGAAATTAATCATTTTTTTATTCAGGAAAAAAAAAAAAAAAATTTAATCATTTTTATCGGATGAGATACTATATTATATATTGGAGCCCCAGTGCTCAATAATCTCACTCATTAATTCACTAACGTATCCTAAGTTTCTAATAACTCACAACCTAAATATCGTTAAATTCGACAACCCATCTACAAAGTATGCTTTAGCCATGTCTTGCACTTGTTAATTGAACTTAGTCTAGCAAAGTAGTTGGAGTTATTTCTGTAAATTCAACGAGAAAAAAGTTTGTGATAATTTTAGTTTGACTTGAGCCTAAGTCGATTCAAAATATTGGCATTCACATTCAACTTATTTAACTTATAATTGAGTCGATTCAAAATATTGGTATTCAAGGTCAACTCATTTGACTTGTTTAATCAAAATCTTTAGTTGAGTAAAAAAAAATTGGTCTTCAAGCTTGACTCATTTTAGTCCTTCAACACATTCTTAAACTCAAAGTTGAGACTGTTAGATTGATTAAAAAAATAAATAAATAAAACACAGCTGAAGCCTTCAATATATATATATATATATATATATATATATATATATATATATATATTTTATTCGGACAAATTAATGGGAGGGGTGCTCGAATACAAACTCACCCACTTGAGAAGTTGGGCACTTTATCAACTAGGCTACGGGTAATGTCCAAAACCTATGTGGTTCCATTAAAGGGTAATTTGGTACTTAAGCAACTCCGGTGATCTTTTATCCTTAGAATGCAATTTTTTTTATAATCTAGGGAGCAGTTCTTAATTTAGGGAGAGTAAAGTTTAGGGCTTTTTTTTTTTTTTTTTTTTTTTGTACCCTAAAAAATATTTGTTATTTATAATCCCAATGGCGAGATACAGGTCATGTAAAATACCTATTAGAAATAGGGTTGCAATTTGTATTCGAAAGTCATAATTATGTCGTGTCGATTTATGAGTATTCTATTAAATAAGTAAACACAAATACGATCCATTTAATAATCATGTATAAGAAATTTAATAATCAATCGATCAATAAATAGTAAAATATATATATATATATATAAGTTGCAATTAGGGAGTTGATATTCGTGTTCCACAATTCTTCTCTGGGCTCCATCCCATTTCTTCTTGCATTGAAATTATAAAAGAATCCTTACATCACATCATGTCTAGTTCTTATACTTTCAATACTGTAATTACCCTCATTATATGACTGTCTAATTCTTTTTAACCTTTCCAAGATTCTAATTTGTTCCAGAATTTTATATTATTCTCTCTGTGAGAGTCTTTTAGAATTTCAACTCTTTTTTTTCCTATCATAGAATGATTAATGTTTTCTCTCACATTATAACAATTTGATGTAAAAGCTTATCTTAAGGTTTCATTTTAATATTTTAGCATCCATTCGCTCGGATAAAGATTCAAATGTATATATAATCTTTTTACATACTTATTTTAATAGTTGGGTATGGTTGTGAGTGAGTAAAAAGGTGTGTATTCATAAACAAGCAATTGTAAAATGTTAATTAATTTTTTTTATATAATTAATTTTTTTTGTTTATCTATACTTATCCTGTTAGTCCTTTTTTAGAGAGAGAGAGGGTGAATGTGAAAGAGAGGTTAGGAAGTAATTTGCATTTGGTGATAGAATCCTAACCTTACTAGGGAAGGACAAATTTGATATTAAAATTATAATAACCAAACATAGTGTGTTATAAAAACTTTTTTAAAATTTTATTCAGAGAGAGAGAGATTTTGGAGCGTCAATATCAATTCCCTTCAATTAATTCAAATATTCAAATAACACGAAAAACATCAAACACCTCATAGCCAAGTAGATAGAATACAAATGTTTAAGTAAAAATCATAAAACATAATTAAAGTTTATATTAAAATGACTTAATTATTAAATATTATATATGTGTTTGGGCTACTAAGTAAGAGATCATAATTTTGATATATTTCATTTTTTTTTTTTAATAGAATGCAAATGTTTAAGTAAAAATCATAAAACATAATTAAAGTTTATATTAAAATGACTTAATTATTAAATATTAGATATGTGTTTGGGTAGTAAGTAAGAGATCATAATTTTAATATATTTCGTTTGTTTTATCTTTTTTATTTTTTATTTTTCAATCAATAAAAGGAAAAAGTTAATGATTTTCATATTTTACTTGTATTCAAGTGAGTATAAGAGACTGAAGTCAGTCAACATTCACAATCCAAATTTAAGAAAAAATAATAATTTTTTTCTATTGAACATTTCTTCATATTTGACTCTATAATTTTATTTATAATTGTGAATCTTCCATTATTTCATTGTTACTTTATTTATAGACACCCTCCTCTTGAATGGAGGGCTAGGATACATTATAATCAAGAGTTAACATCTATTTTAAAATATCTACAACTCTACATTATTGTCAAATATTCTTTGTTTTACACACCTACAATATTCTATAATAATCCAACTCAGCTTAAACAAATCAAAAAAACAAAGTGGGCGACCAAATCAGATCAAATACTACATCTGTGATGAGCCTTAAAATTCATTGGACCCCAGAAAATTTTTTTGTCAGCCTCCATCTATCAACATATGGGTCATGTAGAGGAAAGGCCCTCTCAGCCGGGCTGGGCCCACTCTGGCTGTCACTTTGCTTTGGAAAAAGCCCTATCAATTGGGCTGGGCTACCCTGGTTAGGCTTGTCAATTTGCCTATCCCATCAATGTGAGAAATAGAAGAGAATTATGATCGGGTCATTTAATAGTTAAAGACACCGTAACTAAATTTCAGTCCACAATCACACTCGGTCCCGGGGTATAGCGGTGTTGGTAAGATTCAGGTAAGTTTTTGAATTCACGCTTTCAAATCACACTCTTAATTTAGATGGTAAATATGTTATGGGACCGATACAAGTGCTATAAGAAGAAAAAAATAATAAAAAAACACTAATCCCCCGGTCCCAAAAGGACATTTTTTTGAGACAGAAATAGTAACATTTTAGGATTTGGAATTCAACCTTATCGTAGTGTGATTAGGATTAATTGGCACTTAATCCTCATTATCATTTTGTGACACATAATTCTGCCAGATAAATAACCAAAACAATTGCACATTACCCTCTTTTGTCATTAGTTGTCGCCTTAAATGAGGTAAAATGACACTAATGTCTATTTTAGGAGAAATATTGTATAAAAAAATAGTGTAAAGGGCATAAAACCCCCTTGGATTATCAGCCAATTTCAGAAAACCCTCTAAACTAACAATTGTCCCCCTGAACTTTTTAAAAAGTGAACTTTGAGGACAAAACCAAAAGTGGCCGGCACGGGAAATAGCCGGAGTTAGAAGATTACCATATTGTCCTTTAGTGGAACGACGCCGTTGTATCATTTTAGTACATGTTCTTACTGATGTGTTAAATACAATCTTAGCAGCCAATAGGATTGTCACAGCTCTCACCTTATCACAATCCACCAACTGCTAAACACCACTTTACCTTCCTTATTTTTAGTACCAAAACTGTCTGTACAAAACCCGCCAAACCCTAGCAGAACACTCTCTCTCCACGCTCTCGTTCTCCAGCGGCCAACAACATCGCCGATCAATAGCAACCTCAGGCACCGCATTTCAATCCACGACTACCACCGACGACAACCCCGCTTGATTCCTGATATTTTGATTAGGGACCCAATTTGGCTAATCAACCCAAATTAATCATGAAATTACTCAATTAACTAATTAACGGAGACGAAGTGAAGCTTTGGATTTTGCTGTTGTCGTTGTTGCTTGTCCTCTCTCGGTTGCCATGGCTATTTTATTTTATTTTTTTTGTAGGAATCTTCGGAATCTGACGCCGGCCATGATTGAGCTGTCAACCGTTTTTGGGTTTAAAAATTTAGGCAAAAAAAAACCTTTGTTAGGAGAAT